ACTAATTACATTCCTAGGTACATTACATTCCATAGTACATATGACTATAGTCAGTAATCGTAGGTCTAGGTATACGATTAAACACATTTAAAAGCACGTGCCGTGGAACCCAAAGCCGAGCCAAACTTCCCCAAAACTCATCATTTACTCTTGGCACTTTAAGATATACTTTAAAACTAGGTAGGCATTTGGTATATTATTGTTCAAGGCTTATCGTTTTTGCCCAGAAAGCTGCAATTTGGAGAAAAAGTTGATTTTGGAGCAGTAAAAACGCCAGTCGAATGACCTCAAAATACTAACAGCAAATGGGAATACGGTCATATGAACAGCTGTTCTCCAAACGACTGCCTTGAAGAGGTTCTCACGTTTTACTAAACAATCTCTGAAATTAACAGCAAAGTACAAGCAGAGTGTATTAACATTCGTCTCATTTCACGCTCTGTTGATAATGAAATCACAGGCAAGAAATGCAGGTAAACCATTAGGAAGAAATGAACGCAATCTAGCAGAAACCAAAGCAAGCGAGTGCACGGAAGACAGGGGCATTCAGCATTAAGCTCACAAAGTTACTTCCTGGGTCAGAATTTTAAACAAAAAAGAGAAACAGAACCGCCCAACACAATGCACAGAAAGCAACCACCACCGGCCGCTGCACAGGCACCTGGCGAGACGCTCCGGAGGGAAGCACGGAGAGGGCCGGTCCCTCAACAGGTGGGAGTCCCCAGGCAGGAGGGAGGAGAGACAGACGCGATCCCCTGACAGTCTATCTCATCACGCCCGGCCAAAGCCCAGCGACACACGGGCGTGCAATTAATCCCAACCGGGCGGAGCTCGGCTCGGAGGCCGGAGGCCGGCCAGGCGTGGAGGCGCGGGGAGGGCGGCAGCCAACCCGCTCGCGCCCTGCCGGCCTCGCCGCCCCCCAGCCCGCGCCCCCGCCCGGCCCAACCGTCACCGTCCCGCCGGTCCGGCAGCCGAAACGTAGGCCAAAGGGGCATGCGTCTGCCTCCCGCCCAGGCGCAGGCCGAGCACCGGCGTCCCTCCTCACCGAGCCCGCGTCCCTCTCACCGAGCCCGCGTCCCCGACTGCGGAGGGCAGCGCGAAGCGGGAAAGTCCACAGAGCGAAGGGGTGTCCCAGGCGCTGCAAGTGCGCGTGCGCACGGCCCCCGCCCCGGCTGCGGCCCCGAACGGCCGTACCGCGCCCGCCTCTGGTTTACGTCTGTTCGCAGCACCAGGCAAGGGGAGGAGACTGAGCCGGCTTTTGATTGGACAACAGGAAGAAATGGGGCGGGAAGAAGCTCAGTGATTGGTGAGGACCGCGCGTTCCTGGATTTGAAGCGAGGAAGCCGCGCGCCCTGCGCGTCCGGGGGAGGGGGAGGAGGAGGAGCTGGAGCTCTGCGCTGCCTGGGATCCGGGGGATGCTCCCGTTGGCGCCGCCTTCAAGGTCTTGGCGAATTTGAAAATAATGCTTACTTCATTCAGTTTGGGGCTCCAGGGCACCGCCAGTCACTCTATGCGCAAACAAATCCCCCCCATAGGTTTCGTCCTTCCGTGGGCAGATGCAGACCTTCCTGTTAGTAGACCTGAGAGGCGTCGGGTTTCACCTTCAGTCAGTTAATTCCTCGGGATCCAAGTCTCATGACAGTTCGCCACATCTAGTCGCCTCTCTGTGACACAGTAGGCTTTGTCTCGATTGGAAAAAAGTGAGGTGAGGCATAATTTGTCCCTAAGTAGCTTCCTACTTTTGTCCATCCTTCTTAGGCCACAAATCCCATCCCCGCCATCTGCTCGGCACAAGCCCTTAACTACTACACTGCTTCACTGAGACCATGCCTTTCACTCAAAATGTATCTCAGTCTTTTTCAGTAAGGTCCCTTATCTCAAAATTTATTCCATAGAGTCACAGAGGGAAAAGAGTCCCTCTTTTCCAAAGCTAACCCCTTAACTTCATTCAAGTTACTGAAAGATGCCCGGCGCACTTCGGAGGAGAGAATAGGGAAAATGCAAAGTTTAGAAGTCCCTAGACCTGAGGTTAGCTCGGTGGGGAAAGACAGACGTCTGTTTACTTGACCGCTTTCTACCTCCTGCAAACATGGCTCAGCTGTCATTCTTGGATATCCTCTCCACTGGTTTCCTTCTCTCTGCCTACAAAAATGCAGCACCTCTCTATCCAAACACATACACCACACATGCCACACACACCACTCACATCAAACACACCACACACTGCCACACACACCCACATACAACCCCCCACACGCATACACACCACATCCATACACAACACACACCCACATACACCCCCACACACACATACACAAGACACACTTCACCCACACACAAATACACCCACACACCACACCCCTTCCTTGATTCTGTTTCATCACCTAATGACCATTCTTGGCTCCTTCCCTTAGTGGTCTCCACTTTTTTTTCCATAGAGGAAGCCAGGCTTCCACTTTTTACACCTGATTTTGACGCATTTCATGGTGTCTAGCTGGGTCCTGAAAACTTTAACATTTATCAGGAATAGACTCCTAGTTGTCAAACTCAGTGATTATCTCCACAGTTCTTTACACCTCTTCTTGGAACCCTGCGGCCTTGGTATTTGCAAAGAGTAATTACCTTTATTCTACCTTTGTTCACACTCAATGAGCAAAGATGAATGCAGAAAATCTCAAGATTTTCTGAATCCCAAAAAAGTAAGGCAAATGCTTCGTTAGCCCTAGAGCTGAGAGGGTATATTGAAGTGTAATGGGCCACACTTCTTTCTCAGAGTATCTTAACCTCTTTCTACAAAGCGGTCACACAGTTAACTGCTTAAATATGTCTACATGTTCCAGACTGTCACTCACACCAAGTCCTTGTTAATAAAAGTCCTTCCTCCATAAATATCCTCACGTCACCAAAACACTCCGCACAACACTCAGCAACCTGATAGGACTCTACTGACAGAGATCTCTGATTCAGAGTCTCGGCAGCAAGACAGCCTGGACTCTGACGCCAGGCTGCCTGGATCTGAATCCTGGCTCTACCTCCCTCTTCCAAACTGTGCAGCCTTGGGCAGGTAACTTTAACCTGCTGGTATCCTTGTCTGTAAAAAGGGGATAAAGCGTTTGCCTCAAAGGCTTACTGTGAGGATTTAAAGCTACTCCTGTAAGGTATCTAGAAAAGTACTGGCTCATGGAAATACTCAGCAAACATTAGCTATTATCTCATACCTCAGGATCTCACCTCACGTGCCGACTGGAGAGGAGGAACAGGACTCCCACGGTGATTTCCAAATCTCTTTAGATGCTGAGTAGAGCCTGCAAAGGCCCCATGACCAGGGTGCCTCCCAGGGAATTAGAAGTGAGGCCTATCCAGTTTTAAGTTCAGACATCTCTCAGCTCCCCTTTTACCAACTGCTTAAAGTGGTATGCCTCAGCCACCAATACCCAAAACCTTCTCCCATGTAACCACAAGGTATGATTCCATATTAACGTCCCACTAGTTCCCTAAATGAACCAGACTGTTACTTATATCCTGTTCTGTAAACATACACCTACCCTCTTTTACCTATTGAAATCAGACATCCCTTCCAAATTCTGCCAGTTCAAATAACTTCTTTTATGCCTACTATACAATTTCTACCATTATTACAAAGCCGAACCCATTACCTTTTGTAAATTCTAGAAATGCCTTCTCCCACGAGTGTAAATTTGTGTGCAGACTACCTTTCTATTTTTTTACATACCCCAGTGTTTGGCACAATATCTTGCACATGGTAGATGCTCAGGATTCACTACATTAAATTGGAGAATGGTCTCCATTTCATCATCCCATTCTTACCCCAGGTACCTCTATGACTGAAAGCTCAAAGACATGCCTTCTCATTCTGAGTAAGATTCAGCATTAAGATTTCTTGTTTGATCCTCCATAAGGCTACAAGCCTAGCAAGTCAATTAACCAGAGGAAGACCTTTGAGAATTATCTGAAAGAGATATTTACATAGAAATGCTAACTTTTGAGACAAAACACTTTGATGATTAGACAATAAAACTCCAATGTTCCTTAAACTAAAATGAATAGGCTAGGTGAGGTGGCTCACGCCTATAATCCCAGCACTTTGGGAGGCCAAGGTGGGATGACGGATTGAGCCTAGGAGTTTGAGACAGCCTGGGCAAAAAGTGAGACCCCCTCACTACGAAAAATTTTTAAAAAATAGCCAGGCCATGGTGGCGTGCACCTGCAGTACAAGCTACTCAAGAGACTGAGGTCGGGGGATCGCCTGAGCCCGGGAGTTCAAGGCTGCAGTGAGCCATGATCATGCCACTACACTCTAGCCTGGGCAACAGTGTGAGACCCTGTCTTAAAAAATAAAAAAATAAAATAAAATGAATAGCTCTTAATCCTTTGCATATTAAGAAGTACTAGAGATATGACAGTATTCAAGGAAAGGTGTCTTTGAAAATTAGAATAGTTATAACAATTATGTCACCTATGTGATTACCTGATAAGACACATGAAATACTGTTCAGAGCACCTCTGTCTCTCTAGCCCTGATAAGAGGTTAAACCCTTGACAATTCCTGACAGAACTGAACCAACAAGCATATTACTAGTTTTAACCATTTTATCACAATTTCTGTCAAGTACATTCTCATCTTAGAAAAGATGAGAAAATATTCTAATGTTGACTAACTAGGTTGAAAGTCAACATCTGTGCATTCTAAATGTTAGTCTACATACTGACTTTCTACCTTTTAAATAAATCTAATATTTTTGCTCACATCTCCTAATTTTTGTTTGGGTTTTTTGTGAGATAGTGAAAGGAGAGTAAGCCTTAGCAACTATCTTAAACAAAACACATTCTGTTTTTATAAGGCAAGAGATTTGTGTATTTTAAAATATATTTTATTACATAACCTACTTGGATAATAATTACAAAAGCTTTAAACAGTAATTCCAAGTAGTGAAAGACAATTTCCTTTAAAAAAAAAAAAAAAGACCAAAAAGTCCACATTGGGTTTTGCTGCTTTATACACAGGAATGATTTATTTTACATACTAGTCAGTTGCAACATTAGCCTGTAAAATGAAATCCATTTTCTAAGGTCTCAAAGACAGAATCAACTTCGTAAGAATATGCTTTCACATTAGCCAGTCCGATAAAGCATAAACAACTTAAGACTATGGTAACAGTTCAAAATAAAATTTACAAAACAGGCACTTTGAAGTCAGCTACTGTGTGTAACTTCACAGTTAACGTTACTTGGACATATCTCATTTCATCAAAGGTTATCACCCAGTGAAGCCAACGTTCCTTTGATGGAGACGCACAAACAGATTTAGGTTCGAAACACCGTATTCCAGTTGTAATACATGCAAGACAGACCCTAAGTTAGAAAAATCTTCTGAAAGAAAGTGAAGAAAAACAGAAAGCAGCCAGAAATGAAAGCATTTACAAGCACTTGAATAAGGCCTTTCAATGTTAAATCAGTGTTTTAAACCCCTTCATTCTCAGGTAAGGGATTAAGAGGCCGAGAGAGATATCGTCTGCGAGGGTGAGGATACTGGAGGTTGGCAGTGTCAGCATCGCAAGAGTGCTCTACCAGAGGAGGAGGAGGAGGAGGAAGGAGCTGGGCATAACTGGACCATCTCGATCCAGCCCGTGGGGAATCCAGAGGGGGAAAGAAATACCTGAAACAATGAAGACAGGAACAAAACACCAAACAAAACAAAAACAGGGAAAAAAAAAAAAAAAAAAAAAAAAACACAAGAAAAAGAGAAAAGTAGTAAATACAGAGAGAACCAAAGAGGAGAAAACACATGCTAGAAAAAAAAAAAAAAAAAAAAAAAAGCTTTAGTATATTCATGCCAAAACTAACAGAACATAATAGCACAAATCAAGACCCTTACTCAAATCAAGATTGCTTAAGCAAGTATAGAAACTTGAAAGGAATACAATCTGTTAAACTTAAAATGTCAAAAAAAATCAATATAAATGTTACAAAGAAAAACATTAATTTTATAAATTCAAAACATTTTCTAATCTCTCAGAAACATCTGATGCTAGTCTGTACATTTACAAATCTAATAAGCTTTTTCTCTTAAGCAATGGTTCACTCACAACAGCAGCAAGCACACAGTTTTTTTAGTGCATACATGATACTGGGAACACAGTATGGCTGGCTACTGCAACATGCGTTTGAAGAACTACAAACACTGAACACTTATTTTTCTGCAAAAGCCTTAGAATAGCTACCAAATTTTGAGAAGTGAAAGGACTCACAGAATGACTGTGCCCTACTGTTACTCTTCTTCCATTTTGTAACTTACCAGTAATACTTACACATTTTAGCAAGCTTAAATATTTATAGCTTTGTTATCAAGGTCAGAGCTTTACAGGATATGAACTAATTTAAACAGCCAACTAAATTAAGAAAATCTTGAGACATGGAATGCTGACATTAATTTACATGCACAATTTTAGTAAAATTTTAATGGCTTCTCTTAATAGTGTGTGTCCAAACTTTGATTTGAAGGAAACTAACCAATGGAATAAACACCATAAAAATATACAAATGTATATAAGAAACATTTCTCTCTTTAGTGACTATGAATTAAAAACTTATAAAAAAGTGTTTCCATCTTACTTCCAAATTGTAAATGAAACAATACCAAATGCTTAACCTGGCTACAACTGTACAGTCAAGTTCCTTTCATTTTACTATTACTACTTTACTAATTCACTCCTTCACTAATATTCTTTAAATACTACAAGGAAATGACAGAGTTGTACTGAATATCATGTATAAAGCAATTCTACAAAAAGTAAATCACTCAAAACAATCTTTATAAAAAATATTTATTCAATCTTCAAATTAAAATTATAAAAGTTCATCATTTTAAGCTGTTTTAAGAAAGCAAAAGAAATATGTCTATATTTTCCAAATGAAATAAAGTGATATTTCCCCTCCTCCCAACTACTTAGATAAGAATGGTAACAACCCTTTTAATCTTTAAACCCAAATTAGTTTCAGGAATATTTCAAAAAATTGTTTTGGTGACAATGTCTCAACAGAAAGCCTCTCCATTTATATTTCAAAAGTTTCAAATAGTGTCAGTAAACTGACTAGTACAAAAAAATATACACTGTATTTTTAAAGGCCTTTTGGATTGCGTTTAGTAGTAAGCAGGCTGCTGGTGTATCTTGGGAGAGGTCAAACGGCGCTGGGGAAGGGGAAAAGGAGCTCGCTTTCCATTCCTGTGTGCATGCAACAAGCAGCAAAACAGCAAAGTTACTCCAGTTAGCTTGTACTCAGCTGTGCTTTCTGTTAAAGGACATAATACAAATGGAAAAGGGAAATGCATCACAGATCTAACACAGATGGTTATTGGCACAATAAGAATACAGATCAAAAAACAGAAGCTATTTACAAAAGAAAATACGCAGTACAGGCAGTGACCAAGAACCAGCCTTAAAAAATCAACTCTACTTATTTGTTTCATGAAATAATCTTTATAATCTGGTATCTTCCACGGTAACCTGAAATCGTTTTGATGCACATACTTAAAACCTCGAAATCAAAAGCAGGACTTCTTTATAAAAACATAACAATATAAAAATAGTTGAAATTTTAAATACAATTTTCTTATTTTATTTAGGATAACAACAGGATAACCACAGGACAGTCCATTAGGCTGTGTTTTGACGTTTCCTGAATTCTATTTCCAATTATTCACAAAGACATATTAAAATAATTTTATCTTACAAATTCACATATTTAAAATTTGAACATGAAAACAAAAGGATGACTCTTTAGATGACATCAAATATTCCTTATTATGATACACAAGAATGTAACATACGCTAACTATTCTAAAAATCAATCTCAAGTTTTATTATTTCCTCTTATTTCCATTAAACTTTAAACACAAAAGCCAAATAATTTAATGTACTCTCTTCTAAAAAGCCTTAATAAATGTATTTTATTTAAAATTTCAGTTTGACCTAATGCAAAGACCACATTACAAGCAGTGAAAAACACTAATGTTCATTTGGACTAAAATCCTCACTATTAAACCAGATAACTTTCCTCTCACTGTTGCAGAAGTGAAGTTGAATCTTAAACCTGTAACATTTCTACCGATAGACCCCTAAAGCTTCAGAATATAATGTAATGACCTCATAACCTACCTGCCAATATTATGACCAAGTAAGCCAAATACAGAGGTAACGAAATGAATGCTTAAATGCTAATATAATCACATGTGAACATTTCCACTCCATCTTATAATCCAGGAAATAATCCACCTTAAGTAGAGCTACCAGAATGATTTAAAACAAAGAGAATTTCCAGTTTTCCCATGAAACAGCCTACCTGCCAGCAGAAGATCCATTTAATGAATTCTGAAGACTTGGAATATTTGAACCTAGGGAAGGATTTGAGTTTCCCTGCTGAGAACTCCCACTGACTGGGCTCCCATTACCTTTCAAAATACCAGTACACTTCCAATTGTCCATATAATTAGCTGAAAGGAAAACAACCAAATACATTAACGTGATTAATACCAATGCCTAAGGGCACAAATCCGTACCCATGTCCTTAAACTACAATTAGAGAAATGAGGGAGAGGCTAGGGGCTACATTTCTTTCAGGGTAAACATTAAAGACACTTTTTAAATGAAAGACCTATTATCTTAGTTTTAACAAATTTTTAGAAGTTTTCAAAGTATCAATAACTTTAAAAATATAAAGCTTTCACCACCCATGTTACAGATATTAGCAGAGACAATTTTCTGAGCTACCGTATTATCACATTATGAAATTAATATTAAAATCTCCATTTTAATATTAAAGTCTTCATTATAATGAATTTCACTTACATATATATGTAAGGTAATGAAATTGTCTTCTTAATTATGCAAGTATAAGTTATATGGGTACCTAATGTCTTCTGAAATGGATGTAGGTAACAAAACCTTTGGAGATTGAGTGGCTTATCCAAAATGGCCTTATTAGTTTGAATGCAAAATTGGTCTCTGAAGACAATGAGCCCAGGAAAATCAAGTTAGGCAGCCTGCGGGGGAGCATGGCAAGGTGGTCCTGACTAAAGCCCAGAGGCAGAAAAGGACAGCAAAGCCCTTGAAATCAAATTACACTGAAGAAAGAACGGTCTGAGCTGGTTTTGCCAAAGCCCAAAATCGAACATGGGAGGCCCTCAAGCTTACCCAAACTGCACTTTGGGAAACAGTAACTGCTAAAGGGTAAATAAACTAAGACAGCTATAATTTTGAATGCTAAGTATGGGACACCATTCATTATGGTGGTGCACAAATCACAGAAATCTCTGCCCAACAGATAAACATCCAAAAAGCAGTGCAGAACCACACTACAGAGACCACAGTCAGTGTCAACTGTCCAGACCTTCTCACTCAGCCTGGCACTTATAAAAAACTTACAATCAGGGCCCCAAGGCTCTTAACTTTTGCAAGCTGCACAAAGCAGGGAAGATACTGGATTTTCTCCTATTAAGGACTGATTGTCTAAAGTAATTTATTTGATAAAATAAGAGCGACTATAGTCCTAGCCTGAGTTTGTAGAGCAGTCATGTAAGGTACATATAGGACAACTGGTATCTTTTTACTGGAGATACTGCATATTCTGTTGTAATTACTTTAGTTTTAAAAGTTGCTCTGTTCCATATAACTTGAAAAACAATTCAGTGATTAACTGCTATGAACTAGGTAAACTGATGTTCGAAATAACATAAATTAATATGACATTAAAAGTAACCGCAAAAGACCATTTTTAAAAAATATTTCAGAGTTTACATTTTTAAGTAAAAACTCCAGAGCAGAAATACAAACCAACAATTACCCCTCCACTGAAATCTTACCTTTCCACAATCTTACACAGCCATCATCTCCTGAAGATGCTAGCACTGTTCCTGTTATATTCCAACTCACTCGCCAGACCTGAGAATTATGATTATCAAACTGAGCCACTATATGGATTTCAAACTTTGTTGGCCCACCAGAGGAAGTCAGTTCTTTCCTGTTAATAAAAAACATTTTCTGAGGCATTCTAAGCAAAGTTTTAAAATACACACATACACACATATAAAATTCTAAATTAGTACAAGTGGTCTCACCACCACATCACTTTATAATAAGGTACTCATCTGCGTAAACCCCACCCCTTGGCCTTGAGCTGGGCCAATGTCATTTCCATTTAACTCGCCAAGACCTGGAGTGATCCCAGCACATAAACGATATTCAGTGACTGTTTGATGGAAGAAAGAAACAACAAAACAGGATGATTTTATTCTCCCACACAAGGCCGAGGAATAAACCAGATGACAATAATTAATTTAAAAAGGCAGGGCAAGGCCAGGTGCGGTGGCTCACACCTGTAATCCCAGCACTTTGGGAGGCCAAGATGGACAGATCACTTGAGGCCAGGAGTTCAAGATCAGCCTGGCCAACATGGCAAAGCCCCGTCCCTAACTAAAAATACAAAATAAAAAATTACCCAGGTGTGGTGGCGGGCGCCTGTAGTCCCAGCTACTCAGGAGGCTGAGGCACAAGAATTGCTTGAACCTGGCAGGTAGAGGTTGCAGTGAGCCAAGATCATGTCACTGCCCTCCAGCCTGGGCGATGAAGCAAGACCTTGCCTCAAAAAAAAAAAAAAAAAAAAAAAAAAGGCAGGGCAGCAAGTAGGAAAGAATGAAAGAACAGAAAGAACTGAAATTCACAATTCAAAATTAAAGTTAAATATGTTATTCACAACACTATCAATACTAATTTAGTTTTCCCTAAATAGACTGCCACTTGTCATTAAATATTTATAGAATATCAGTTATATTCAAAGAATTATTAGTATTAGCCTAAATAAAGCACAATTAAGAGAATATAAATCTACTCTTTACTCAATTCCTCTTTCCAAAAAGACATATATTTATATATAAAATGTTCATTAAATAATCCATTCTTCAAAAATAACTTTAATTTAAAAGTAATTGTAAAAGACCATTTGTAAAAAATATTTCAGAATTTACATTTTTAAGTAAAACTTCCAGAACAGAAATATAAACCAAATCATAGTTACCTCTACTCTCTCCTCCACAAACAAAGGTAATCAGGAGGCAAGAGTATTTTCAAATTCATAAATGCTTCGAAAACTCACCTCACAGGTTTTAATGTAAAAATTCTCACATCTTTGGTTGCTATTGCTAGAATATGGAAAGATCTTCCCAAGTTTGGAGCGAATGCAATATCATGAACGGGATCAGTGACTGTCATAAGAGTTTCAGCTTTTGCATATTTCCTAATGGAAAAGCAAACAATTTAAACATTTTAGAAATAAAATGTACAAAGACGCACACATCACTGCATCTCACCTTTTTCATAGTCACAGCCATGTAGCGCTCACCTCTGTAGTGGGCTCAAAGTGGTCCTGACCCCCAGAACCTGTGAACGTGACCTTATTCAAAAAAAGGTCTTTGAAAACGTAATTAAGGACCTCAGAATGACATCCTAGATTTAGGGTGGGTCCTAAATCCAATGCGCAGTAAGTATCCTTAAAAAAGAAGAGGAGAGACGCACAGACACAGAGGCGGCGGCCATGTGAACACAGAGGCAGAGACTGGAGTCGTGCTGCTGCAAGGCAAAGAACTGGAGCCAGCAGGAGCCGGACTAGACCAGGAAGGGTTCCAGAGGAAGCACAGCCCCGCCGACACCTCGATTTCCGACTTCCGGCCTCCAGAACTGAGGGAATACATTCTGTGTTAAGACACCTGATTTGTGGTAATTTGTTATGGTAGCCCTAGGAAATTAATACAACCTCCCATGTTTCCTCCTCTGATAATGTACATTGAGCTTGAAATGGTTTAATAAAAATTTAACTAGAATAAGGTCTTGGCTGGCCACAGTGGCTCACGCCTGTAATCCCAGCATTTTGGGAGGCTGAAGTGGAAGAAATGCTTGAACCCAGTAGTTCAAGACCAGCCTGGGCAACACAGCAAGACCCCATCTCTACACAAAACACAAAAATAGCTGGGCATGGTGGTGCACACCTGTAGTCCCAGCTGCTCAGGAGGCTGAGGTGGGAGGATGGCTTGAGCCCAGGAGGCAGAGATTGCAGTGAGCTGAGATTACATCCCTGCACTCCAGCCTGGGCAACACAGTGAGGCTCTACTGCAAAAAAAAAAAAAAAGGAACCCGAGATGGCTGCACTCTTGCTGAGACATGTTGGTCATCATTACTTCCAAGCCCACTTTGGCCCTGAGCTATCAGAAATGCTGTTCCCTTGGGAACCACGGCAAAAGAAGAGATAAGAGCGGTTCTGGAATAAGAATATAGGTTCAAACCGTCCTGCGTCTCCCCACATCACTAGCTACAGCTGGTCTCTTCCCATGGTGACGTCCATCTGCCACCGTGGCACTGGTATTGCTTTCAGTGCAGGAGTCTCTCTTTTTGGCACGTCGGCCCTGTTACTCCCCGGGAACTTTGAGTCTTATTTGGAACTCGTGAAGTCCCTGTGTCTGGGGCCAGCACTGATCCACACAGCTAAGTCTGCACTTGTCTTCCCTCTCACGTATCACACCTGGAATGGGATCCGACACTTGATGTGGGACCTAGGAAAAGGCCTCAAGATTCCCCACCTATACCAGTCTGGAGTGGCTGTCCTGGTTCTTACTGTGTTGTCCTCTATGGGGCTGGCAGCCATGTGAAGAACGGAGGTTCCCAGCATCATCTTCCTACACGTTACATTCACCCATCTTTCTGTTTGTCATTCCTATCTCCAGCCTGGGAAAAGTTCTCCTTATTTGTTTAGATCCTTTTGTACTTTCAGATCCCCTCGGAACAGTAGACTACCTTGTAGATTATAATTGTGGAAAAGGGTCTAGTTTTCCCCTTGTTTCTAAAAATGGGGTGGCTGCAAAAACTCCCCTTTTTTGCCCACAGCTTGCCTACTCTCGGCCTAGAAGCAGTTATTCTCTCTTCATACTGGGCTTTGATTTGTGCTGAGGGTCAGCTTTTGGCTCCTTCTTCCTGAAACAGTGGAAACAACGCCAGCTCTGTGGCTTCTGCCCTGGGGATGGGGGAAGAGGCTTTGGGTGCCACTGCCTGTGGGCTGCTGGCTTAAAGGACAATTCTGTTCTTTGGTGAGAGCCCAGGCCATTAACACCTACACAGTGTTATTGAAAGAAGAGAAGTGGTGGGAGCGGAATTAGTCTGTCCCCGCTAGAGGGAGATAAAGAGGGCTAGTTAGTTCTTGGAGCAGCTGCTTTTGAGGAGAAAATATATAGCTTTTGACACAAGAAGAAAATCCAGAAAATTATCACTGAACATATTAATGGTTATTTCTTTTTCTTGGAGTTCCAGAACAGCCTCTTAATTTTATACTTTCTCATCAAAGTCATGTACCATTTTTTGAAACTGAATTAAAATACTCATTTAAAAAAAAAAAAAAGAATAAGGTCTTGATTTATTAGCCACTGACATCTTTCTTACGAAAACAGTAACGCATTGCCTAAGTATTTGAGTGTAAATAAAAAAGTAAAGCTGGTAACAGGAATTGAGGTTTTCACGGTTTTCCGTTTTTTTTGAGACAGAGTTTCTCTCTTGTGCTGGAGTGCAATGGTGCGATCTCGGCTCACTGAAACCTCCGCCTCCTGGGTTCAAGTGATTCTCCTGCCTCAGCCACCTGAGTAGCTGGGATTACACGTGTGCACCACTACACCCGGCTAATTTTGTATTTTAAGTAGAGACGGGGTTTCTCCATGTTGATCAGGCTGGTCTCGAACTCCTGACTTCAGGTGATCCACCCGCCTCTGCCTCCCAAAGTGCTGGGATTACAGGCGTGAGCTGTTTAGCTGTTCTGTGAATTAAGTGATAATAAAAGGAAACTATGCAAAGGCTATTTCATCTTTGCAATTCTATTTCTTTACGTATAAACACAGAATAAGAGATAATGAAGGCAGTGGTAGATCAGAGTTTTCTACTAGGTTCTTCTAAGATTGAATATCCTGGACAGAACCGCAGCACGAAACCCTGAGTGTAGGAGACTGGGTGGAGAGATCTCCCCATCCCACCCTTCTACTACCTTCTTCTAAAATAGTGGCGCTTCCAGCGTTTTGTGCTTGACCTTCTTCTCACCCCAACATTCTTCCTAAAATATCTACCAAGCTGATACACACCTCAAGGTTCTCCCTTGACCTTTCTCACCCATCCAATCAACCTAAGCAATCTCATCCACATCCTTGCTTCTACTGTGTGGTCTGCAGTAGCCTGGAAACTTCTGGGAAATCCAGAATCTCAGCCCCTTCCCGGGGCCTATACAATCAGAATATGCATTTTTTTTTTCTTTTTTGAGACGGAGTCTCACTCTGTTGCCCAGGCTGGAGTGCAGTGGCCGGATCTCAGCTCACTGCAAGCTCTACCTCCCGGGTCCACGCTATTCTCCTGCCTTAGCCTCTCGAGTAGCTGCGACTACAGGCGCCTGCCACCATGTCCGGTTAATTTTTTTTTTTTTTAGTAGAGACAGGGTTTCACCGTGTTAGCCAGGTCTCGATCTCCTGACCTCATGATCCACCTGCCTCGGCCTCCCAAAGTGCTGGGATTACAGGTGTGAGCCACTGCGCCCGGCCAGAATATGCATTTTAACAAGATCCCCAGAAGATTCACACAGACACCGAAGTTTCTACACTCATGGTTTCAGTACCTATAAACCAGTAATTCCTAAATCTATCCCCTGCAATTCAGGATCTTCTACCAAAGGCCAGAACCAGGACAGAGGGAGCTAAGAGCACACATGCTGCAGCCAGAACGTATTTGAATCCAGGCTGTAACTTGACCTTCAGCAAGAAGTTCTCCATAAAGTGGGAGTAACACCAGTACTGTGGCAGAGAGATTCTAAGAGCCCCCATGACCCGCACCTCCTGGTGGTCACACCCTTGTAAAGGCTCCTCTCCATGAGCGTGAGTGCGGCCCACGGTTTGTTTTCTACCCAGGGGAAGGGACATGGCAAGGTGGTGGGGCAACACTTGTGTGACCGCAAGGCACAAGCCTGTGACGCCTGCCTTACGAGAAGACTCTCCCGCTTTCAGGCCTTGCAGAAGCAGCTGCCACGCTGTGAGGACATAGGGAGGGTCTTGTGGCAGGAATACAAGTGCTGCCAACAACCAGGTGAGCGCCGAAGTGGACTCTTTCCCAGTCTGGCCTGACTCTCGACCACAGACACTGAAATACCGAATCTGTACTGTTTCGGCCACTGGGTGATAATGCCGTCGTGCAGCAACAGACAACTAATCTCAGCTATTCTACCCATCCGCCTTTACACATTCCAACCTGGATGTTCCAAAAGCACCTCAAACGTATGTCTGAAATAACCTGTGCTGACCACATTCACTCCCCATCTCAACGAGTGGCACCACCATCGGCCAGGTCAGAAACCAAGACTCACGTGACCTACAGCTGGTGCCTCCTAGACAAGTCTCCCCGTTCCCTCTTCATCCCACGGACAGTGCACGTCCCCATTCCACATTCCACACCACCGCGGGCTACTGCGTTCACCCCGAGTCCCTGCTCCCCCGAGTCCCTGCTCCCCATCCACACGGCTGCCAAAGTCATCTCCCTAAAAGGTAAATACAACCTGGTAACTCTACTGGACCCTGCGAAAGGCCAAATGCTGCCACGATGGAGACCAGATTGGCAGGCAGCACTCTCCAAAATCTGCCTGCCCCTCCCCTGCCCCTCCCCTGCCTCTCCCCTGCCCCTCCCCTGCCTTAGCCTCACCAGCCACCACCTCACCAGGCCCAACCCCGTGCCCTTGTCTTTGTTCCTGCCTCCTCTCTGCCTGCAGAACACCCTGTCTTTCACGACTAATGCTCAAACATCACCAGCTCCCACCTGACACTTCTTGCCCTGCCAGGCAGGTACGTGCTGCCATCTCTAGCAGGTCACCATCCTCGTCCATATCCTAGGTGCTGTGAGCTCCTTCAGCTCTTAATACAGTCCCTGCTGCTTATGAAATGTTGAAAAAGTGAGATTTTTTTTTCTTACCTGAGGCAAGCTATATATTGTAATTAAGGTGGTCGGGCACGGTGGCTCATGCCTGTAATCCCAACACTCTGGGAGACAGAGGCAGGAGGATCACCTGACGTTGGGAGATCCAGACCAGTCTGACCAACACGGAGAAACCGCGTCTCTACTAAAAATACAAAATTAGCTGGGTGTGGTGGCACACGCCTGTGATCCCAACCACTCGGGAGGCTGAGGCAGGAGAACCGCTTGAACTGGGGTGGCGGAGGTTCCGGTGAGCCAAGATCGTGCCATTGCACTGCAGCCCGGGCAACAAGAGCAAAACTTCGCCTCAAAAAAAATAAAAATAATTAAGGTTATCTAAAGCTTCTCCTATCAGGAGGAGCCAAATAAGATCCTCAATAAGAGTGTATATGAAAGGAATGAACAAAAAAGACTTTGTTTCTGGTCCTGACTCTGGACCTTAGACTAGCCATTCACTCTGTTGGTCTCGGTTTCCTCATTTGTAAAACAGTGTTAATGAAAATCTGTCTCCCCTACTTACAAGGTGGTGGGTAGGGTTCAAACTTCATAATACATATAAAAATGCCCTGTAACCTATAAAAACACATGGCACTTCTATTATCACTATCAATGCTAGATCTGTTTTAGTATTTTCACTCACAAATACAAATAAGTATATCGAACACTGGCTAATTTGGCAAATGTCTCCTGTCTACTAAATGGTGATACTACTTAGAAAAAGATAAACAGGCCGGGCGCGGTGGCTCACACCTGTGATCCCAGCACTTTGGGAGGCTGAGGTGGGTGGATCACAAGGTCACGAGATCGAGACCATCCTGGCCAACATGGTGAAACCCCATCTCTACTAAAAATACAAAAATTAGCTGGGCGTGGTGGCATGCGCCTGTGGTCCCAGCTACTCGGGAGGCTGAGGCAGGAGAATCACTTGAACCCAGGAGACAGAGGTTGCAGTGAGCCAAGATTGTGCCACTGCACTCCAGCCTGGGCGACAGACTGAGATTCTGTCTCAAAAAAAAAAAAATTAGGTAATTTCTATTTCCCTGTATTTTCTTTCAGAACTAACTGCAAGTTATTTATCTTTTTACTCCAATCTTATTTACAAAATACATTTTCTTTTCCTATGTTTTAGAATTTTTTTTTTGACACTGCTGGAGTGAAGTGGTGCAATTTTGACCTACCGCAGCCTCGACCTCCCAGGCTCAGGTGATCCTCCCACCTCAGCCTCCCAAGTAGCTGGAACTACAGGCATACGCCACCATCCCCACAACTAGTTTTTGTACTTTTTGTAGCAAAAGGGTTTCACCATGTTGTCCAGGCTGGTCTTGAATTCCTAGACTCAAGTGACCCAGCCACCTCGGCCTCCCAAAGTGCTGGGACTGCAGGCATGAGTCACCTCCCCTGGCCAATGATATACCTTTTAAGTTTCGGGCTTATGTCTACATATTCATTCTGCTCAGCTGAGGTTGAAATTTACTTAACAAGTCCAACACTTCATGAAGCCTCTATAAAATGTGCTATTAATAGGGCTTATAGCTTTCACAGCTTAAAAAACCATGAAAATCTCTAAGACCATTTCCCATCACAGCAGCACGTTCTACTGGACAGCACTGTTGAAGATCAAGCCTCTCTGCAGACATCAAAAATCCAGGAAGGCAGAAGGTGTAAGATCTCCTTGGCAACTCAGACGGTAACATTTGGAATTGCAGAGTCCACGGGAGTAACACTAGTTCCTTCTCTAATGCTGGCCCTGCCTAAGATCTGACTATTAGACCCAAGAATTTTGTCTAGTACCTGTGAAACCCATCTGATCACATGACAGGTGCTCTCTTCTCCCGTAAGACTGAGTAGTGTGCCTCTGAGACAGTGCTTTTGGCTCTCAGAAGCTTTGCAGACACTTGTATCTCAGCATGACCAAAATTAACTTACCTTCACACGCTGTTACACTCTACCCAAATCTGCCTTGTTCCCAGAGTTCCTTATCTCAAGAAATTACACACATTGAAATTACACATTGAACTCTTAGGCCACAACCTTAGAAATAAACATTTTAACGCTTGCTTCCTTCTCCTTCAATTCTCATATCCAATCAATCACCAGATCCTATTGATTCCACTTCTCAATTATTCTCAAGTTGTCCACTTACCTCCACGCCACTGCTACTACTATCCCAAAGCCACGTACTCCCCTACGTGGACTGTCTTCACAGCATCCAAGCCCTGAACCCACCATGTTTCCCTCCAACACACCTGTCACATCTATGGAAGATCCATCTGATCCCATTATTCCCTATTCACATTACCTATAAGATAAAACTGAAACACTGGACACTACTTCTTATAGATACACATCTTGCCTATTTCTCTCCACACTCACTTTTGCCCAGTATGTTCCAACCACAGTATAAATATACTCCTTCTCTGTTGCTCACGGGCCTTACCACATGCAGTTTTCTCCACCAGGAGTGCTTCTGCCCTCTGTCTGGCTAACTTCTACTCATCCTATAGGTCATCTTCTAGGTGAACCTTCCTAGTCCCTAAACCAGGTTAGGTTCCTCAGGTGTAAGCTCTTTAGCACCCTGATTCTTCCACTTCATAAAATTCATCACTGTTTTTTACTATGATTGTTTCACTGCAAGATGGTAAGTACTGGGAGATCAATTACCTTCTCCACTTTTTTTTTTTTTTTTTTTTTTTTTTGAGGCAGAGTTTTGCTCTTGTTGCCCAGGCTGGAGTGCAATAGCATGATCTCAGCTCACTGCAGCTTCTGCCTCCCAGGTGCAAGTGATTCTCCTGCCTCAGCCTCCTGAGTAGCTGGGATTACAGGCAACTGCCACCACACCCAGCTAATTTTTTGTATTTTTAGTAGACACGGGGTTTCACCATATTGGCCAGGCTGGTCTACCTTCTCCTCTTTATCACTCATGCCTGTACTATCACAGCCTAGCACAGAACTTGGTATATTATAGTAAATCAGCAAACATATGACAAATGATACATAATTCTGTAAACGAATAAAGAAATAACATTTTAAAAAACTGAAATGCAATTCTGAACAATTATTAAAACCAAAGCAGGACTGACCTGGTGTTTTCATTATATTCAAAAATCTGAACCTTGGCCATTGCGTTGGGGCTACTGTCATCACTTCCTACAGCGATCATGGGGGAATGAGCTCGAGAGCTAGAAACGGAGAGAAAGAACATTTTAGGTAACAAAAGAAATATACACTTCAGAGAATGAACACACTGGAGGCAAGCAGACACCCAGCTTACAGTCAGCCTGTCACTACTAGTGACATGTAGGTCTCTGCCACACTGCTGACATGGCCACACTGCAAGTGTGTGCACCTGAGAATGTCACACATGGGAGCTGAGGATTCCATCCTTATGAACTGGTTTTAGCATGTTCTTACGGCTCAGACAGAAAGGAGCTCTTTGCCTGAAAGAAAGCTTTCAAGCATTCAACATACTTTTAAAAAATACTTAAGAGGTCTTAGTAATTTTTCCTCCTGAAATTTTTGGTCATTAACTATGAAACAAAAAGTAACCCTACTGTGACTAACTTCATGACAAAAACATTTTAAGTGCTTTGACAAAAAGAAGAAACACTCAGGCAGGGTGGCTCACGCCTGTGATCCCAGCATTTTGAGAGGCTGAGACGAGAGGATCATTTGAGGCCAGAAGTTCAAGAAAAGCCTGGGCAACATCATGAGACCCTACCTCTACAAACAAAAAGTTTTTAATTAGCCTGTTGTGGTGGCGTGTGCCATTTATCTTAGCTACTTAGGAGCTGAGGCAGGAGGATCGCTTGAGCCTGGGAGTTGGAGGCTGCAGTGAGCTATGATCGTGTCGCTGCACTCTAGCCTGGGCAAGAGAGCCTCTTTCAGAAAAAAAAACAGCAGATGCACACCGGAAAAGCGGAAAAGCCTACCCCTGCAAAAGTCATGATCCCACATCATTCCCCCCCAGACTCATTTGTGGTCAACCTCATTTTGAAAGAGCAAAAGATAAGCAATGAAAGAATGGCTCTCCTGAACTAAAAGTTGAATGACTTTTTAATTTCTATGCCTAATGAATACAATTTCCTTTGCCTCCCTCATCCAAATTAACATCTCTGTGAACCTGGCACCCTTGCTTAATCTTTAGCTTCAATATTGTGAACTACTGACCTCTTAAAGCTAAAAACAAAATGTGGTAACTGATAAAAAATTTTAGTTCTTTATTACTAAAGCTTCAGGTAATTAGATCAAATTATCTAATTAAGAAAATTACCAGGCAAACTACAAAATGCTACAGTAATAAAATAAAATTATAAGTTATTTATAATAATTTTTGGCCATTCAAAGAGACGTAAATTCCACAGCAAATTTCTGTATCTCACAAACTTCCTTTTGCTTTTTTTGTCCTGTTTTTTTGAGACAGAGCACCGCTCTGTCACCCAGGCTGGAGTGCAGTGGCAAGATCTCTGATCACTGCAACCTCCACCTCCTGGGTTCAAGTGATTCTCCTGCCTCAGCCTCCTGAGTAGCTGGGATTACAGGCATGAACCACCACACCCGGCCACAAACTTCCTTTTTCAGTGTTCTACAAGTATGTAGTTTTGTTTTTATAACATTAGTAGTGTGAATGAGGACCAAAAGTACATTTATAGTAACATATTCTAAATTACTAAAAACGTCAGTTTTGTGGGGTTTTTTTTTTTTTTTTGAGACAGAGTCTTACTCTGTAGCCAGGCTGGAGTGCAGTGGCGCAATCTCGGTTCACTGCAACCTCCTCCGCCTCCTGGGTTCAAGCGGTTCTCGTGCCTCGGCCTCCCAAGTGGCTGGGATTACAGGCACGCACCACCACACCCAGCTAACTTTTGTATTTTTAGTAAAAATGGGGTTTCACCACATTGGCCAGGATGGTCTCGATCTCCTGACCTCGTGATCTGCCCACCTCGGCCTCCCAAAGTGATGGAATTACAGGCGTGAGCCACCACGCCCGGCCAAGATTTTTTTTTTTTAATTGAGATTGGAGGCCAGGTGCCGTGGCTCAAACCTGTAATCCCAGCACTTTGGGAGGCCGAGACGGGTGGATCACGAGGTCAGGAGATCGAGACCATCCTGGCGAACACAGTGAAACCCCATCTCTACTAAAAAATACAAAAAACTAGCCGGGCGAGGTGGCGGGCGCCTGTAGTCCCAGCTATAGGGAGGCTGAGGCAGGAGAATGGCGTGAACCCAGGAGGTGGAGTTTGCAGTGAGCTGAGATCCGGCCATTGCACTACAGCCTGGGCGACAGAGCGAGACTCCGTCTCAAAAAAAAAAAAAAAAAAAAAAGAGATTGGAGTCTCACTATGTTGCCCAGGCTGGACTTGAACTCCTGAGCTCAAGCAATCCTCCTTCCAAGTAGCTGAGACTACAGGCGTGCACCACCACACCCAGTTAAAAAATATAAGATTTAAAAAATTGTTTGTCGTTTCTTTTTTTTTTCTTGGCGTGAGGGGCAGGGGGCGGGGGTACAGAGTTTTGCTCTTGTTGCCCAGGTTGGAGTGCAATGTTGCGATTTCACAACTTCCACCTCCCAGGTTCAATGATTCTCCTGCCTCAGCCTCCTGAGTAGCTAGCATTACAGGTATGTGCCACCAAATCCAGCTAATTTTGTATTTTTAGTAGAGAGCGGTTTTCTCCATGTTGGACAGACTGGTCTCCAATTCCCAACCTCAGGTGATCTGCCCACCTCAGCCTCCCAAAGTGCTGGAATTACAGGCGTGAGCCACTGTGCCCGGCCTCAAAAATATTTTTAAATCCAGTCACGAAATGTCCAGACAGCAACTTGAATTGAGGATTACCTAAACTGTACAACCAGATATAAGATATTCACATTTAAACCACTTTCTAAGTATGATTCACAGCTAAACAGTAAGAAAAATCATCCAGCTTTCTGACTGAATAGTGTAGACAGATCACCTGGATCTCTGCCTCCCTCCTAAACCCCACTGAAATGATGAAAAAATATTATCATACTGGGCTAGAAATCTAGAAAGAGTGCCATCAGAAATCAAGAAACTTGGAGGGTTTCCAGGAAGTCAGGAAGCAGATCAGACTGAGAAAGAAAATACAAAGGAAGAAAGAGCCCACATCACCATCAGTAAGTAGAAAATTGCAGAAGGTTGGTCGGGCGCGGTGGCTCCCGCCTGTAATCCCAGCACTTTGGGAGGCCGAGGCAGGTGGATCATGAGGTCAGGAGATCCAGACCATCCTGGCTAACGTGGTGAAACCCCGTCTCTACTAAAAATGCAAAAAAATTAGCTGGGCGTGGTGGCAGGTGCCTGTGGTCCCAGCTACTCGGGAGGTTGAGGCAGGAGAATGGCGGGAACCCAGGAGGCGGAGCTTGGAGTGAGCTGAGATTGCGCCACTGCACTCCAGCTTGGGCGACAGTGCGAGACTCCATCTCAAAAAAAAAAAAAGAGAACAAAAAAAAGAAAATTCCAGAAGATCCAACCTCCAATTAATAAATGCAAAGAATAGAAATGAGTTGGCCGGGCGCGGTGGCTCAAGCCTGTAATCCCAGCACTTTGGGAGGCCGAGACGGGCGGATCACGAGGTCAGGAGATCAAGACCATCCTGGCTAACCCGGTGAAACCCCGTCTCTACTAAAAAATACAAAAAAAAAAATCTAGCCGGGCGAGGTGGCGGGCGCCTGTAGTCCCAGCTACTCAGGAGGCTGAGGCAGGAGAATGGCGTGAACCCGGGAGGCGGAGCTTGCAGTGAGCTGAGATCCGGCCACTGCACTCCAGCCTGGGCGACAGAGCGAAACTCCGCCTCAAAAAAAAAAAAAAAAAAAAAAAAAAAAGAATAGAAATGAGTTATGGACAATCATGGAGTGATTTGGTCAAAAAACACTGTCTTAGTGAGACAATTAGAATTTGAAAGAGAAAAGTTAAGAGCTGGAAATAAAGGAGTACTCCAAAACCAACGGGGAAAGGGGCAGGGAGGAAGAAAATACGTTCAAATGGTTCGTCGTGCTCAATGGAAAATCTTTCTTGCTTTGTGAGTCTGAGGGTGCCCCAGCCTGCTCTTGGCTCACACATCCTTAGGAAACGCTGCCAACCCACTCCATGCACTCCACAAAATGCAGTCACCTCCCCAGTGGAGAGGACGTTGTTAACCCAACAGAGCACCCAGCAGGAGAAAAATGCCAATACCAGTTTTCTCTACTAGCAGTAACAGTCACTCACCCATAAATAAAAATAAGCAAAGACCAGCGGACACCAAAGAAAAACAAGCAGCGCAGAAGATAAAGACCAAGGCACATGAAAAGAACTGATCTTTGAGAAAACACATATAGCCAATCCTCACTATTTAGAGATTTTGCATTTGTAAACTGGCCTAAAATTTATTTGTAACCATAAAATCCAATTCTCTCAGGCTTTCTTTGTTGTTATTTTTTTCTCTTTTTTGAGACAGAGTCACACTCTGTTGCCCAGGCTGGAGTACAGTGGCACGATCTCATTGCAACCTTCACTTCCAGGGTTCAAGCAATTCTCCTGCCTCAGCCTCCTGAGTAGCTGGGATTACCGGCGCATACCACCACGCCCAGCTAATTTTTGAATTTTTAGTAGAAACAGTGTTTTGCCATGTTGGCTAGGCTGGTCTCAAACTCCTGACTTGAAGTGATCCGCCCACCTTGGCCTCCCAAAGTGCTGGGATTACAGGCATGAGCCACCGTGCCCGGCCCAGGCTTTCATGGTCATTGATTGGCAGGTACAAAGCAGCTCTACAAAAAAATCCAGTTGCCTGATGCACAGTTTCCCAGCAGAGATGCCTTCTTCCTTTGGCTCTCATTGGTAAACGAATGTCCTTTTCACAGTCTAGTCAGTTCGCCTCACGTTTTTCACATTTTTGTGCTTTTTAAAAGTGATTTCACAGTTTAAAATCCGTGGATGCTGCTGAAGCGCTGTCTAGTGTTCCTAAACATAGGAAGGCCGGGATGTGCTTTATGGAGAAAATATGTGTATTCAGAATGCCTTGTTCAGGCCTGAGTAGTTTGTGTTGTTGGCTGTGAGTTCGATGTTAATGAATCAACAACATATAAGTTACCTTTAAAAAGAAAGACACACAAAAAGGTTATATACTGATCAGCTGACAGAAATGTAGTGAGAGACTTTTGGAAAGCCTGTATTTCCCCTAGGAGCAATTCAGTATCCAGTATTAGCTAATTCAGTGTTGATGACAACTTTATAGAACATAGCCAGGGCAAATGATAATTGAGCTAGTATCCAATATTATAGCTCAGTGAACAAATGCAAATTTTAAAAACTCTTAACTAGGAACCGCAGGGAAATAGTGTAACGCATGTAACAAAAACTGACTGGTATAAAAAAGAAGTAATCAGAGAAAAAGAAAGTCTGAACAATTAAAAATGATTGCCATTCACACAAAAATTCAATGATGGGATAAAATGTACACCTGGAGAACAAAGTGGAGATCTGGGAGATGGAGTACTAAACCTCCAAACAATTTTTTTTAAATGGAGAGTAAATCCGGGAATAATCAAATAGGAGTGCCAGAAAGACGGCATAGAGACGAGAGAATAAAAAGAAAGTATTAAAGGATCGTAAGATATCCCCAATTTGAGACAGAAACACTCATTTTTAAAGGGACCACTGAGTGTCGAGTAGGACCGGCCAAGTGCAGTGGCTCATGCCTGTAATCTCAGCACTTTGGGAGGCCAGGCCAAGAAGACTGCTTGAATGGAAAAAAAAATCTAAAGACAACACGTGACAGAAAATCTGTGACAGCTAAGTATAAGCCAGAAGTAAAAGAAATCAAGAAAGAAAACAGAGCACTCATCATAAGGTAATACCAGCTCATTCCACAGGAACAACAAAGCTTTCATGAAACAGATATTGGCATCTCGAATGAATACTTACATAATCTAGATTGTAAAGCTGGCTGCTGCTTGATTTTTAGAATCAATTTGTAGTCAAAAGACAAAATACACATGTGTTAAATGTTTACAGAATGTAAATATTATAAACCTTGCCAGTATACAAGCAATATAAGAATTAGGAAATGGACTGGGTGGCTCACGCCTGTTATCCCAGCACTTTGGGAGGCCGAGGCAGGCGGATCACAAGATCAGGAGATCGAGACCATCCTGGCTAATACGGTGAAACCCTCTCTCTACTAAAACATACAAAAACTTAGCTGGGCATGGTGGCAGGTGCCTGTAATCCCAGCTACTCGGGAGGCTGAGGCAGGGGAATCACTTGAACCCGGGAGGCAGAGGTTGCAGTGAGCCAAGATCCGGCCATTGCCCTCCAGCCTGGGGGATAGAGCGAGACTCCGCCTCAAAAAAAAAAAAAAAAAAAAAATGCGGAAATGGAAAGGGCAATATGAGGGGGAAGCAAAATAAACTAATTTCCTCTTTTTTAAGAGCGCAGAAGCTAGGCACAGTGGCTCACGCCTGTAATCCCAGCACTTTGGGAGGCCAAGGCAGGCAGATCACCTGAGGTCAGGAGTTCAAGACCCGCCTGACTAACATGGAGAAACCCTGTCTCTACTAAAAATACAAAAAAAACTAGCCAGGTGTGGTGGCGGCTGCCTGTAATCCTAGCTACTCGGGAGGCTGACACAGGAGAATCACTTAAACCTAGGAGGTGGAGGTTGCAGTGAGCAGAGATCATGCCACTGCACTCCAGCCTGGGCAATAAGGCAAGACTCCATCTCAAGAAACAACAAAAATAAGAGAGGGGAGTAAATAGTCTAAAAATTGATAAATATGTACAGAGATATATATTATTTGAAATTATAATAATTACCAACATAACTCAACTATCAACATCACCACAAATAAGATATCTATCTAGTCATACCTTGGGATGCGGAAAGTTGTATAAATGTGCTCTATTCATCTTTCCTATCAGTTTGGATGTTGTTAAATGATAACATAGCAAGAATATGTGGAAAAATAGAATAAAAATTTAAAAAAAAAAGATAACATAGCAAGAACCAGAGGTATAAGTAAATCCTTTAAAAATATACTAGTGACTAACAGAATTAGTCTGAAAACAGAATAAATAACAACAGCATTTGTTTTTAGGGGGTAAAAGAACTTTCCCTTTCTTTCTGTATTCTTATAGATTACTTCAATTCTTTTCTTTACCAAGTGATTTTTGTAATTGTTTAAAAACAGTTTAATAAAAAGCAACTATGGTAATACACATGCAATCATGCTCTATATGGCAGTTAAAAAGAAATGAGGTAGAACTAGATATATTAATATATGGAGAAATGCCCACAATGTATCTTTAAGTGAAAAAAACTAATTGCAAGGAAGGAAAATGTAACGGTTTCTGGCTGGGGGCAGTGGCTCACGCCTGTAATCCCAGCGCTCTTGGAGGCTGAGGTAGGCAGATCACCTGAGGTGACCAGTCTGGCCAACATGGTGAAACATGGTCTCTACTAAAAATGCAAAATTAGGTGGATGTGGTGGCACATGCCTGTAATTCTAGCTACTTGGGAGGCTAAGGCAGGAGAATTGCTTGAACTCAGGAGGTGGAGGCTGCAGTGAGCCAAGATGGTGCCACTGCACTCCAGCCTGGGCAACTGAGCAGCACTGTCTCAATCAACCAATCAATCAATCAATCAATCAAATGTATGGGTTTCAATGTCTGTGTGTTTTGTGTCTACCTGTGGTAGTAAATATCTGGGTGTGTTTGCATATATATGTGTTTATGACTTCATTAGTTATTTGTATACGCATAGAAAAACATCCTCAAGGTTCACATGAACATATTTACAATGCTGGTTCCCTCTGTTGAGTGAAAACAGGGACAAGTGACATGCCTGGGTGAAAAATGGAGAACATATAATCTATGTATCTTGAGAAAAAGCACTTTTGAGAGAATAAATTATCAAATTATTACCTTAAAAATTACTAGTTCATGAGCCGGGCACAGTGGCTCATGCCTGTAATCCCAGCACTTTGGGAGGCCAAGGAGGGCGGATCACAAGGTCAGGAGATCGAGACCATCCTGGCTAACAGGGTGAAACCCCTTCTCTACTAAAAACACAAAAAATTAGCCAGGCGTGGTGGCGGGCGCCTGTAGTCCCAGCTGCTCGGGAGGCTGAGGCAGGAGAATGGCGTGAACCCGGGAGGCGGAGCTTGCAGTGAGCCGAGACTGTGCCACTGCACTCCAGCCTGGGGGACAGAGGGAGAAGCTGTCTCACAAAAAAAAAAAAAAAAATTACTAGTTTATTTTACTAGGATGTTATCAGAGGTTTAACATGTAAACTTACCTTGAAGGGTTCCAAGAAATACAACTACAGCTTAGCTTACATGAGATCTCATGCTGCAAAGACCACTGGCTGAGATTCATAACATCTGGTGCCTCATATATTCTTACTATACCATCTGCCGAACAGGTTGCTAACATAAGACCCATGTGCTTAGGAGCAAACTTCACATCGGTAACAGACGTTCTGCTATCCACCAGAGTTGTCCTTTTAACCTAAAAAAAAAAAATTAACAATTTAAATTCCATACAAAAAGAAAGTATGGTAGAGTGGGAAAGACACACAGACTCTGGACTCACACAGAAACTCCTCTGTCATTCACTAGGTATACGAGCTTGGATATGTGTCTGGGCCACAATTTCCTACAAGTACCTGGCAAAATACCACATATATAGCTGGGAATCACTAACAAATTAGCTAGCTACAATTAATTACTCCCTTTCATGGAAAAAAAAAAAAGTCTACCTCCAAAAGCCTACCTTTATTATATAAGTAATCTGTCTTAAGCAGACTGGTCACAAAAAACAGAAAATGTTAGAATTTTCAGACAAGTAGTTTTGACATACAAAGCATGCTGCAGGCATTAGATCCTTTAACAGTAAATGAGTTGAGCATGATGGCTCACACCTGTAATCCCAAAACTTTGGGAAACCGAGGCAGGCAGATTGCTTGAGCTCCGGAGTTCAAGACCAGCCTGGGCAACATGGCAAGACACCATCTCTACTAAAAATTAAAAAAAAAAAAAAATAGCCAGGTGTGGTGGTGCACGCCTATGGCCCCAACTATTCGGGAGGCTGAGGTGGGTGGACTGCTTGAGCCAGTGGGACAGAAGGTGCAATGAGCCAAGATCGCACCACTGTACTCCAGACGGGGTGACAAAGCAAGACCCTGTCTCAAAAAACAAACAAACCAATCAACAACAAAAAAAAAACACTAAGGAAGACATGCAATTTCTTCTCTGAAGAGTAATTTTCTGTTAATCCCATTTGGACCACTATTATTCTTTCTTTTTTTTTTTTTCTTAGGGACAGGGTCTTGCTCTGTCACCCAGGCTGGAATACAGTGCCATGATCATGGCTCAAGTGATCCTTTTGCCTCAGCCTTCCCAGTAGCTGGGATGACAGGCACCTGCCACCACGCCCAGCTAGTTTTTCTTATTTTTTTTAGAGATGGGGGTCTCACTATGTTGCACAGATGGGTCTCCAACTCCTGGCCTCAAGCGATCCTCCCACCTCAGTCTCCCGATTTGCTAGGATTACATGTGTGAGCCACTGCACGCAGCTACCACGCACTTTTAAGTGAAGGCATTTAACAGGGACCAAAAGAATGGTAGAAAGCAAGTTCTGTGATCACTGTAAAATTCCAACATCACATTTAAAAGTCACCTTCTGGCACACAGATAAGATGAAACCTTACTAAAAACATCAATAAGCCCCGGTGCGGTGGCTCACGCCTGTAATCCCAGCACTTTGGGAGGCTAAGGTGGGTGACCACTTGAGGTCAGGAGCTCAAGACCTGCCTGGCCAGCATGGTGAAACCCCATCTCTACTAAAAACATACAAATTAGCCAGACGTGGTGTCAGGCGCCTGCAACCCCAGCTACTAAGGAGGCGAAGGCAGTAGAATAGCTTGAATGTGGTAGGCGGAGGCTGCAGTGAGCCGAGATCACGCCACTCACCAGCCTGGGTGACAGAGCGAGACTCTGTCTCAAAAAAAAAGTCAATAAAGTTTAGAAATCAACAGATTACTGTCTATGGTTACCAAAATGCCTCTTAAAGAGTCTCAATATTGGCCAGGCGCGGTGGCTCACGCCGGTAATCCCAGCACTTTGGGAGGCTGAGGCAGGTGGATCACGAGGTGAGGAGATCGAGACCATCCTGGCCAACACTGCGAAACCCCGTCTCTACTAAAAAATACAAAAAAATTATCCGGGCGTGATGGTGAGCTCCGGTGGTCCCAGCTCCTCGGGAGGCTGAGGCAGGAGAACGGCGGGAACCCGGGAGGCGGAGCTTGCAGTGAGCGGAGATCCGGCCACTGCACTCCAGCCCGGGCGACAGTTAGACTCCGTCTCAAAAAACAAGAGTCTCAATATTAAAAGGATGATATTACATACACTTCAAAGATAACACCTTAGCAAACTTTTGTCTACAGACCCCACTGAATAATACAAACACAGATGCTGAGAAAATCACCGCATGTGTCACAGTAGGTCGTCAGACACGAGCAGGGCAGCAGAGGACGCCACCCCACCGGGAACACCAAACACCCATCGGTGACGGGCAGGCCGTGGTTCAACTGTCTCTGACCTAACCACTGGCTGCAGCCACGCCCGCGAACGCAGTCTCCGAACAGACACAAACCGGACACCGGCGACCGGCAGCGCCTGCGGAGACCGCAGGAGGCGGACGAGCGGCTCACGCATGTGCACTAAGAGGCAAAATGGCGGAACCCAGCCGACGTACGACCTTCTAGGAACATTTTGGTAAGGGAAGAAGGCCTCAAGCGAGCATCTGCACAACTCCGGTAAACACCGCACACGCAGCCTCCCAAGCACGAGCGGCCACTGCACACACGGACTGCCCGCCCCAGGGGGGAATCAGAGGAGAAGAGACGCAACCCCGGGAAGCGCGCCAACGTCTGACCACCCACGTCGAAGGTCCGCTTTAACCGGCCTGCCTCTTAGCTGAGAGCCGGACAGACTCCATGTCAGTGCCTTCACTTGCAGCCCACCTTACCTCCCCCCGTGAAAGGCGCAGCGAGTGCAAGCTGACTCCAGGAACGCGCTTGCTGGTAAGATACTGAGGCAAGTTCAATCAGCAGCGCCCGGGGACGCGCTCGCTGGATGGCACCTAAAGCCCCTGCATTTAGCTCTCTGTGACAGTTTCAGTCCCTGCGCCTGGAACTGTTTCTTTTTCTGTAACTGCTTCTGTAACCAATTAATTTTTTAACTTTTTGCCTGTTCTGCTTCTGTAAAAAACGCTTCAGCTAAACTCCCCCTCCCCTATTTAGACCATGGTATAAACAGAAATCTAGCCCCTTCTTCGGGGCCAAGAGAATTTTGAGCGCTAGCGTCTCTCGGTGGCCGGCAATAAAAGGACTCCTGAATTAGTCTCACAGTGTGGCGTTTGTCCACAACTCGCTCAGTTACAACAGGTCAAACCTCGCATTTGACTCTCTCAAGTCACCCACTTGATCCTCTTCCAAGTGTATTTTACTTCCTTTCATTTCTGCTGTAAAATTCTTTAACAAACTTCCACTCTGGCTCTAAAACTTAGTCTCTTACTCTGCCTTATGCCCCTAGGTGGAATTCTTTCTTCTGAGGAAGCAAGAAATAAGGTTGCTGCACACACAAATGAATTCACCACTGCTGATATATTAATGAAAGGTGACTAAACTAAATACAAATAAGTATCTTGAAGTTTGAAGAAAAGTCCTTCTTATGCCACCACTCCCAAATCCAACCTATAGTATACTGAACTGACACACCTCCAATTTAATGCCAAAAAATCCTTTATAAGTCTATAAATTTCTATTCCCTCCTCCCCATAAGCAGCTGTTTGGCTTAGGGAATCCCTAGTGCAAAGGCAATCAGACATACTCCTCCCCCAGAAGAGCTGTAAAACAGTCTGAATAGCCACTCAAGCTACAAAGTTACCAGAATTAAAACAGTGCACTATTAGGACAAGGAGACATAGAGATCAGTGGTCCACAAGAGAGCCCAGAAAGCAATCCTCCATATATCTAGCCAATTAATTTTCAACAAAGGTGTCAAGACCATTCAACAGGGGAAAGAACGGTCTTTTCAATAAATGGTGCTGGGAAAACTAGATTTCAGCACCCTAGCATTTTTTAATAACTGAAACAAATAATTTTTATCAGGCCCTTGCTTGCTTGCACATGTTAATCACTCACTTTTTGCTAAATATTCCTTGTTGCAAACAATATAATGATAAACTGTTGATGTACTGCTTTTCTTTGTCAAGCAGGAAGAGATAACTTCAGGGTCACTTAAAGAAAAATGTTGCCAGAAGAAATGAATGGCTTTAGGGACACTGTTACCAGCTGCTAACAACCAGATGTCTGGTTGCTCAAGGCATTACCTGAGACTAAAAAAACACAGACTTTTCCACTAGATTCTGTGAAACTCCCCATCCCTTACTCTCTAGTCACATTAAAAACTACCCACTGCTTCCTTTTGTTTAGATGGATTTAAGAGATCTTGCCCTCCCACCTTCTTGCTTTAGCCAAATCAAATAAACCTTTCTCTATCTCCAAGTACCGGTGACTCAGTATTTGGTCTCAGCTCCGCACTGGGGATACAAGCCTGAATTGAGGATTCTACAACAATCTTAGAAGAAAACGCTGGGGAAACTCTTCCTGACACTGGATTTGGCAATGCTTTCCTGGATATAACACCAAAAGCGTGGGAAACAAAAGAAAAAAATAGATAAACTAGACTTCAAATTTTTTAAATTTTGTGCATCAAAGAAAATCATCAAGAGTGAAAAAGGCAACCCACAGAATGGGAGAAAGTATTTGTAAATCATTTACAGATTGTGCATACAAAATCCAAAAATCTGAAATCTGAAATGCTCCAAAATCCAAAACTTTTTGAGCACTGGCATGATGCTAAAAAAAAAAATGCTCACTGAAGCATTCTGAATCTCAAAGTTTTGGATTTAGAATGCTTAATTGGAGTCGGGCATGGTGGCTCACACCTGTAATCCCAGCACTCTGGGGGGGCCAAGGTGGAGGATCGCTTGAACCCAGGAGTTCAAGACCAGCGTGGGCAACTCTATTAAGTGAATAAATAAGTAGGCAAATGCTTAACTGGTAAAAGTATAAATGCAAATATTCCAGAATCCGAAATTGAAAACATTTCTGAATCCTAGCATTATGGATAAGGAATACTCAACCTATACCAGATAAGGGATTAATATCTAGAACATATAAAGAACTCCTACAACAACAAAAAACCCATTTTAAAAAATGGGCAAAGGATATGGATAGTATTTTCCCAAGGAAGACATACAATTGGTCAATGAGCACATGAAAATATGGTCAACATCAGTAATTCCTAGAGAAATGCAAATCAGAACCACAATGGAGATATCACGTCACAACACAGTCACTAGGATGGCTACAATAAAAAGCACAATAACAAGTGCTAATGAAGATCTGGAAAAACTGGAACTGTTGAGCATTGCTGGTCGGAATGTAAAATGGTGTAGCTGCTATGGAAAAGTCGGACAGTTCCTAAAAACGTGAAACACAGAACTACCATATGAGCCAGCAATTGTACTCCTAGGTATATATCCAGAATAATCGAAAGCACGGTCTCAAACGTTTATCTGTACAACAATGCTCACAGTATTCACGACAGCCATGAAGTGGAAATAACCCAAGGGTCCGTCTACAAATGAACGGATAAACAAAATGTGGTATACACACACAATGGAATATTACCTAGCCATAGAAAGGAATAAAGTTAATATATGCTACAATATGGACAGACCTTGAAAACATTTTACTTAGTGAAACAAGCCAGTCACAAATGGACAAATACTGTGATTCCACTTATATGCAGTACCTAGTCAAATTGAATGGGGGTAGAGGGAGGAGGAAGGGGGAGGCATTCTTTAACAATACGGAGTTTATGTTGGCAATGATGTACAGTTTTGGGTATAGATAACTGTGAACGTAATTAATTCTACTGAATTATACCACTTACAAATAGTTAAAATTGACCGGGCACCGTGGCTCACGCCTGTAATCCCAGCACTTCGGGAGGCCAAGGCGGGCGGATCATTTGAGGTCAGGAGTTCGTGACCAGCCTGACCAACATGGTGAAACCCTGTCTCTCCTAAAAACACAAAAAAAGTTAGCTGGGCATGGTGGCACATGCCTGTAGTCCCAGCTACTCAGGAGACTGAGGTAGGAGAATCGCTTGAACCCCAGAGGCGGAGAATGCAGTGAGCCGGGATCCAGCCTGGGCAACAGAGCAACACTCTGTGTGGGGGGCGAAAAAAAAACCAAACAGCTAAAATGAGGAATATTACATTATACATATTTTACCACAATAAAAAACTGCATCATAGCCCGCACAGTGGCTCACGCCTATAATCACAGCACTTTGGGAGGCCTAGGCGGAAGGACTGCTTGAGTCCAGGAGTTCAAGACCAGCGTAGGCAACATGGTGAAACCCCATCTCTACAAAATAAAAAATTAGCCTGTGGTGCACGCCTGTGGTCCCAGCTACCTGGGGGGCGAAGGTGGGAGGATCGCTTACGCCCAGGAGGTTGAGACGGCAATGAGCTGCAACTGGCTCTAATGTAGTAGTATGCATTAGGGAGGGTAGGTAAGGGGTAATAGCAGGACGCTCCCACTACATACTTCCCTTTGTTTCTTTTGAAAGTTATACCATGTGCATGATTAATTACAAGAAACAAATCATAAAAGGGGGGAAAAAAGCCTGCAGATGATAATACCTTCATATGAAAATGCTAGGAAGAGTCTTACATATAATCTAGTTCAATGTTTTCACTTTATAGATGAGGAACTTCAACAGCACACAGATTATATTATGTTCTTGCCCAAATTCAAACATCCAGTCAGGCAAAGACAGCGATAAAAGCAGATGCAGATAAGGGAGAGTGTTTTGTTTTTTTTTTTTTTTTTTTGAGATGAAGTCTCGCTGTTGTCCCCCAGGCTGGAGTGCAATGAAGCGATGTCGGCTCACTGCAACCTCTGCCTCCTGGGTTCAAATGATTCTTCTGCCTCGGCCCCCAGAGTAGCTGGGATTACAGGTACCTGCTACCATGCCTGGCTAACTTTTGTAATTTTTGTATTTTTAGTAGAGAAGGGGTTTTACCATGTTGGTCAGGCTGGTCTCAAACTCCCGAGCTCAGGTGATCCACCCGCCTTGGCCTCCCGAAGTGCTGAGATTACAGGCATGAGGAGAGTATATTTTCTCTTTTTTTTTTTTGAGACGGAGTTTTACTCTTATCGCCCAGGCTGGAGTACAATGGCACGATCTCAGCTCACGGCAACCTCTGCCCCCTGGGTTTAAGCGATTCTCCTGCCTCAGCCTCCTGAGTAGCTGGAATTACAGGCATGAGCCACCACGCCCAGCTAAGTTTTGTATTTTTAGTAGAGACGGGGTTTCTCCATGTTGGTCAGGCTGGTCACAAACTCCTGACCTCAGGTGATCTGCCCACCTCGGCCTCCTAAAGTGCTGGGATTATAGGCGTGAGCCACTGCACCCAGCCGAGAAAAGTATATTTTCTTTTTTTTTTTTTTTTTTTTTGAGACGGAGTCTTGCTCTGTCGCCCGGGCTGGAGTGCAGTGGCCGGATCTCAGCTCACTGCAAGCTCCACCTCCCGGGTTCACGCCATTCTCCTGCCTCAGCCTCCCGAGTAGCGGGGACTACAGGCGCCCGCCACCTCGCCCGGCTAGTTTTTTGTGTTTTTAGTAGAGACGGGGTTTCACCGGGTTAGCCAGGATGGTCTCGATCTCCTGACCTCGTGATCCGCCCGTCTCGGCCTCCCAAAGTGCTGGGATTACAGGCTTGAGCCACCGCGCCCGGCCCGAAAAGTATATTTTCTAAGAAAACAAAAGTAACCACAAAACAGAAGAAACATTTTTAAAATAATTTTATTAACCCTTGGCCGGGTGCGGTGGCTCACGCCTGTAATCCCAGCACTTTGGGAGGCCGAGGAGGGCAGATCATGAGGTCAGGAGATCAAGACCATCCTGGCTAACACGGTGAAACCCCGTCTCTACTAAAAATACAAAAAATTAGCTGGGCACGGTGGCGGGCGCCTGTAGTCCCAGCTACTCGGGAGGCTGAGGCAGGAGAATGGCGTGAACCCAGGAGCCAGAGCTTGCAATGAGCCGAGATCGCACCACTGCACTCCAGCCTGGGTGACAGAATGAGCCTCCGTCTCAAAAAAAAAAAAAAAAAAAAGTATTAACCCTTAAGAGTTTAAGGTTAAAAAACAAAAATAATTTTAGAGTTAGGCACAGTGGCTCACGCCTATAATCTCAGCAACTCAGGAAGCTGAGGTGGGGCCAGGAGTTTGAGACTGCAGTGAGCCAGAATATTAAAAAATCATATACGACTATCATAAAATACACTAATAGGTAAAATCAAATACAATGCAAATATCCTGGATTCATCATAAAAGTTATAAGCAATGCAATGATGCTCCTAAGTATTGCTTCAGACCCAAGTTAAAATGAAATAAACAAGAAAGAGAAAAACACGGAAGGAAGAACTTTAGAACTGGTAAAAATAGAGGGGAGTGGTGATATTTTACCAATTATCTGAGGTACCCTTGGGACTAGTGCTCCTTGGCTATTCATGTCTTCCCAGTCCCCAGAATACCAACAAATGTCTCACCCAGTGGCTCTGTCCTCGCAATTTATCGTTTGATTCTCCTACTATTTCTTCCCATACAGCAGCTGTTCGGTCAAAAGAACAGGAAGCCAAAACCTGTCCAAATTCAGGATGGGCCCATGTCACGCGCCATACAGATCCACTATGTGTCTGCGGAATCGAAAAGAAAAAGAACAGATATTCGTTATTCCAGGGCTTTTTTCCTAAAAACTTAGTTTATTCATATTTCATAAACACTGGTTTTATATGAGGAAACAGAATATGGTTTTACTTCTATAAGAGGAGAAAACTGATCAACATAACATGTAAATAAAAAGTTAAATCCAGAATGTTTTAACCTTTAGAAGACATTCTATACTTAGGATTATAGCACTTCTGGAGTTCAGTTCTTTTCACATTTTACTAATAAAACAAAAATCTAGCCAGATAAAGTTTACTACTTTCCAGTGCTGATAGTTGGAGAGTTGCTTCAGAGTTGAGTGTAACCAACCTTTAAAACAAAGATTCTACAAGTCCACCATTTTACTTGTAAATTCTTTCTACAGAAAATACCCATCTAATAAAATAAATAATATTAGATTTATTTGCTCCAAAATCCACAGAGACGGAAAGTAGACGAGTGGTCACCAGGGACTGGGAGCAGAGTGAACATGAAGTGACGGCTAAATGAGTGCTGGGTTTCCTTTAGAGGTGGCAAACAATGTTCTGAAATTAGAAGTGGTGGTGGTTTGCCAATTTAATGAATATACTTAAAATCACTAAATTGTACACTTTAAATGGGTGCACATTATGATATGTAAATTATAGCTCAATGAAAAAAATACTTTTTTAAAAAATTTGCTTCAACCAGGCATAGTGGCTCACGCCTGTATTCCCAGCACTTTGGGGGGCTGAGGTGGGCAGACTGCTTGATCCCAGGGGTTCGAGACCAGTCTGGGCAATACGGCAAAACCCCATCTCTACAAAAAATTAGTCAGGCGTGGTGGTGCAGCACTTGTAGTCCCAGCTGCTTGGGAGGCTGAGGTGGGAGGATCACTTCAGCCTGGAAGGTTGAGGCTGCAGTGAGCCAAGACTGCGCCACTGCACTCCAGCCTGGGTGACAGAGCAAGACCTTGTCTCCAAAAACAAAAAAATTTGCTTCAAAAGTCTAATAATATATAGAGATTGTAGCCATAACATGCTTAAATGATTTTAACTGACAATATAGTCTATTAATAATAGACTACTGTATGAAGAGCAGATATGGGGAAGCCCAAATCCTTACACCCTCATGTTGGCCAAGGGGTGGGAGTGGAGGGGATCGGAGAAGGGATATAAAGATCTTAAAGAATGTCACCATCAAAAGAATTTGCTAGGTGCTTCTCAGAGAAAATACTGTATAATAACAAACAACATGCAGAAAATGTGTTTCACACTCTATAGCTAACATTTTTTACATTCAACAACATAAAAATAGTTTAACCAATAACTTCAACATGGTAATGTCACCAACTAAAGGTACATTTTGCACCCTTATTTTTTAACCTTGTTTTGTCCAGTGTTTTCTGTACCATCTTCAATTCTTACTTATATAGGGCTATAAAGTTAAAAATGCACATTAAGACAGGTAAGTTTTATTAGATTTACAGTAAAATGCAGTCTAAAGAATAAGGTTTACACAAAAATGCTCATAACAATAAAATGGAAAGTTAAATATCCATTAGTTAAGTAAAATGATATTTTTATTGGCTGTTAATAAAAAGCCTTTAAAGATATAGAAAAGTACATATGAAATATGTTAGGCTTAAAAGCAAGAGATAGGGGTTTTCTTTTGGAATGATAAAAATGTTTTAGAACTAGAAAGAGGTGATAGCTGCACAACACTGTAAATTAAGTAAAAGCCAATTAACTGTTTACTGTAAAAGTATTAATTTTATGATATGTGAATCTCACCTCAAAGGAGGGGGGGAGCTTGGATAGAACTTTCACAAAAGAAGATACATGAATGGCAAATAAGCATATGAAAAAATAATCAACATGAGGTATTAAGGAAATACAAATAAAATCCAATGAAATACAAATAAAATCCAATGATTTTGTGGTTACTTCTCAACAACTAAAATGTCTATAATAAAAAAGACAGGTATCATCAAGTGCAGGTGAGGATGTAGAGAAACTGGAACCTCACACACGGCTGGTGGACACAGTCACTTTTTTTTTTTTTTTTTTTTTTTTGAGACGGAGTCTTACTCTGTCTCCCAGGCTGGAGTGCAGTGGCCGGATCTCAACTCACTGCAAGCTCCGCCTCCCGGGTTCACGCCATTCTCCTGCCTCAGCCTCCTGAGCAGCTGGGACTACAGGCGCCGCCACCTCGCCCGGCTAGTTTTTTGTATTTTTAGTAGAGACGGGGTTTCACCGTGTTAGCCAGGATGGTCTCGATCTCCTGACCTCGTGATCCGCCCTTCTCGGCCTCCCAAAGTGCTGGGATTACAGGTTGAGCCACCGCGCCCGGCGAGTCTGGCAGTTTCTTAGAAAACTAAGTATACATAACCCATCAATTCCACTCCTAGGCATCTATCCAAAAGAAATGAAAATGTATGTCCACAGACTTACATGGCACGTTCTTAACATTACTCGTAATAGCCAAAAACTAGAAACAACTCAAATGTCCATCAACTAGTGAACAAACAAAACGTGGCAATATATATACAACTGACTACTCAGTATCAAAGGAACAAACTGACACATGATACAATATGGATGAACCTCAAAACATGCAAAAGGAAAGTGACCAGACACAAAGAACTATGTATTTCAGAATTCCATTTCTATGACATTTCTAGAAAGGATAAACCAGGCCGGGCATGGTGGCTCACACCTGTAATCCCAGCACTTTGGGAGGCCAAGGCGGGCGGATCACTTGAGGTCAGGAATTCGAGACCAGCCTGGTCAACATGGTGAAACCTCGTCTCTACTAAAAATACAAAAATTAGCCAAGCGTGGTGGCAGGTGCCTGTATTCCCAGCTATTCAGGAGGCTGAGGCAGGAGAATTGCTTGAACCCAGGAGGCCGAGGTTGCAGGGAGCCGAGATCACGTCACTGCACTTCGACCTGGGCGACAGAGCAAGACTCCATCTCAAGAAAAGGGCAGAGGAGGGTAGGGGAGAGGAACCTATGGAGACAGAAAACGGATCAGTGGTTGCCTGGGGCTTGGAGTGGGAAGAGGCCACAAGCAAACGTCTGAGTTTGAGAGAAATGTTCTAAAACCGGATCACAGTGATGACTGCACCACTCTGTAAGTTGACTAAAACTCACTGAACTGTACATTTAAAATGGGTGACTTTTAAGGTATGAAAATTTCTACATGGCCAGGCACGGTAGCTCACGCCTATAATCTCAGCACTTTGGGAGGCCGAGGGCAGATAACCTGAGGTCAGGAGCTTGAGACCAGCCTGGCCAACATGGCAAAACCCCATCTCTACTGAAAACACAAAAATTAGCCGGGCATCGTGGTGCGTGCCTATAGTCCCAGCTACTCAGGAGGCTGAGGCAGGAGAATCATTTGAACCCAACAGGCAGAGGTTGCAGTGAGCCAAGATCACACCACTGCACTCCTACCTGGGCAACAGAGTAAGACTTTGTCCCCCCAAAGAAAGAAGAAAATTTCTACTTGAGTAAAGGTTTTTTTTTTTTTTTTTAAAGAGAAAACTATGTATGTAACATTACAACTATTAAAATACGTAAAGGAAAAAGGAATATTCTGAATTACTAAGATAATTATGTTAGAATGCTAATTACAGATTTTCTTACTCTCAAATTCTGAGAAACACACTTGTTACTTTAATAGTGAAAACCAGTAAAATGTCTCTCCAGGAAAAGAACTACTATATTAATTTTATCATTTTCTCAAAACAATTCATTGATAACTAACTATGAAATAAACAGTAAATATTTCTGTATTTTTAATAACTGTAAAAACAAACACTAACCTTCCAGCTAGCAGTACAATGCCAATCACCACTTTCACTTTTATCCCAGACCTACAAGAAAATAAAAGGCAGATATTTTATACAAAAATTCCTACAAATTGATACGAAAACTATAAGACTGAATCAGTGTACAAGCAAAGGGATGAACATATAATTCACAAAAGAATACAACCAGCAAGTAAACATTCATTCATTCAATTAAATATTTATTGGGAGGCCGGGTACGATGGCTCACGCCTGTAATCCCAGCACTTTGGGAGGCCAAGGCAAACGAAGTCAGGAGTCTGAGACCAGCCTAGACAACGTGGTGAAACCCCGTCTCCACTAAAAATACAAAAATTAGCCAGGCGTGGTGCCCCATGCCTTGTAGTCCCAGCTACTAGAGAGACTGAGGCTTGAACCCCGGAGGCGGAGGTTGCAGTGAGCTGAGATCACAACACTGCACTCCAGCCTGGGCAACAGAGCGAGACTCCCGTCTCAAAAAATATATATATATAGAGAGAGAGAGAGAACCTCGAATGTGTCAAGCACTAGGCTGGGCACTGAGGGATTCAGGAAGCTGAGCTCTAAATAACAGAGATAATTAGTTCCAGTCAAATCTCCTTATTCAAAGTAGTTATTTTCTACAGTGTCGCCTCCACCACAGAAACACTGCTCCCAGGGGAAACACTAGGTTAGGTTCCTGTGAGTCTCTGGTCTACATTTTTGTCAACCAGTCAGTACATGACCTTGTTTAAAGTGTGTTTCTGTTTAAAGAGAACTTATTTAATACATATTGTTTATTCATCAATATTGAACTCACTCAACAGCACTGTAACTCACGTCTGAAGGAACCGTCTCTAACGCACGTACTATCTCTTTAACGCACATCGCCTCCTTCTGTGTTTAGAAACTAGACAGCACTTCAGCACTACGCTTGGAGGCCATTTTAAACAGCGAAATCACCAATAGAGAGAACAAATAATGAAAAAACCATTGCACTAAATAGATCACAAAAAACATCTGCTTACAGTACGAGCCAAAATAGAGTATCGCCTGGTTTCACCTCAATGGGAAACGTCTGTCGTGAGACTCAAACTTTTCACCACTCTGCACACATGCACAAATGACTGCAAAAGCAGTGTGACTTCTGGGATACAAGTAAATTTCAGAGTAGACAAATTCAAAAAATACAGAATCTACAAACTATAGGCTCAACTGTACATGTAACAAATGGTAAAGCAAAAATATTGAAACCAGGCATGCTGGTGCACACCTGTAGTCCCAGCTACTCAAGAGGCTGAGGCAGGAGGGATTACTTGAGCCCAGGAGTTTGATCACGCCTGTGAATAGCCACTGCACTCCAGCCTGGGCAACATGGCAAGACTCCATCTCAAGACAAAAAAATTGAACCTTATTACCCGGAAAAAATATAGATTACAGTAAGAAGGTGCCAATTTCACCTATTAAAAATGTAACGAGGGCAATAACACTATGAAATCAGTACTATCGCTGGCAGTATAAAAACGGTATGACCTGAAAAATAGCAACTTGCCAATTCTCTTCAATAGTTTTTAAAATATCCACTAATTTCTCTTCTGGAATTAGCCTAAGAAAATCATTCAAAATACATAAAATGCTAAACTAAGGAAAATTTTCAGTACAACACTATTTCTGACAAGACATATATGTATATACACACACTCTACCACGGCAATTTAAAATGTTAAAGGAAAAACAGAGGAAATCAATAAATATTAACAAACATTAGCAATAAGCCTGTAATTTTCTCACTTTCTAAAAAGAAAAATATATTACTTGCTCATTTAAAAATATATACAAATAAATACATGGCTCCTCCTTTAAAAAAAAAAAGTACTCTGGAATAAATGGACATAAGCGGGCTGGGCAAGGTGACTCACACCTGTAATCCCAGCACTCTGGGAGGCTGAGGTGAGAGGATCACTTGAGCCCAGGGGTTCGAGACTAGCCTGGACAACACAGCAAGACCCTGCCTCTACAAAACAAATTTGTAGGCAGGCGTGGTGGCGTGCATTTGTAGTCTCAGCTACCGGGGAGGCTGAGGTGCGAGGATCGCTTGAACCTGGGATGTTGAGGCTGCAAAAAGCCAAGATCGCACCACTGCACTCCAGTCTGGGTGACAGAGCCAGACCCTGTCTCAAAAAAAAAAAAAAAGGAAAAAGAAAAAAAAATTAAGTGAAATAAACCAAATATAAAAGGGCAAATATTCTATGATTCTATTTATCTGAGGTACCTAGAATATGCAAATTAATGGAAAGTAGTAGCAAAGAGGTTACCAGAGGGTGAGCTGGAGGGAACAGGGTGCTCTCGGGTACAGAGTTTCAGTTTAGGATGATGAAAGGTTCTGGAGATGAGCAGTGGTGACGCTGCACAGCAATGTGAATGCTGTGCTCAATGTCACTGAATTCTACACTTTAAAACGGTTAACGTAGTTTATTACAACAAAAATAAACTTGTTTTTAAAAAAAGAAACTACATCTTTTAAGAACTGCAACACTACTTATAAAAAGTTTATCTTTGAGAGATCACTGGTATCAAACTCGAATGTGAAAAAGGAAAAACTGTCCTTTAGATTTTCAGTGACTCTGGAGTTGTCGAGAACCAAAATAAGCCGCACTCCAGCTTTCATTCATCTTGCAACACATCTGGGAGGTTCCTAAATCCCATAGAGCATCCCCACATTCCTGTAATCTCAGCACTTTGGGAGGACGAGGCGGGCGGATCACGAGGTCAGGAGTTCGAGACCAGCCTGGCCCACATGGTGAAACACCATCTCTACTTAAAAAAAACAAAAAATTAGCCGGGCGTGGTGCGTGCACCTGTAATCCCAGCTACGTGGGATGCTGAGGCAGGATAATCGCTTGAACCCGGGAGGCGGAGGTTGCAGTGAGCCGAGATCGTGCCCCTGCACTCTAGCCTGGGTGACAGTGACTCTGTCTCAAAAAAAAAAAAAAAGAAAGAAATTCTGCTTGTCGGAAGTGTCTACAGACTTTTACAGGAACTTCAAGAAACAACCCCTCCCATTCCTGGGCAGCAAGCAGAGAAGTCATTGGATGTAAATGGTTTGTATTTTTCTTCCTTGGCGTAACAAAGTGAGCTTCTGCTCTGAACCCAGGGAGAAAACCATGTGCCGTAGTAAGAGAACACCGGCGGGGCACAGAACTCGACACAGCGCCGGCCAGGCAGAGTCTCCCACCAGGTCCCACTGCAGGTCCTCGGGTGAACAGTGCGGGCAAGACACGCCACGCCCAGGCGGACGGCAGGACGACCCCGGGTTCCCGCCCGGGTTCCCGTCCGCAGCCACCGCAGCGCTGCCCAAGCGAAAGCCCGGCGTCCCCTGCGGGCGGGAGCGCGCACGTCGCACCAGCTGCGCAGGCGCACGGGAGCGCGGCCCGCGAGGCCGCCGTGACCCCACAATACGCGGGCGGGGAGGGCTTCCGCCCCGTCCAGCCAGGGCTCGCCCGCCACCCCACAGCTTCCCGCGGCGTCACTGAAACCCAGACACAGCCCTGTTCCCCGCACCGCCCACCCACTCCCCCTCCTTCCGGGCTCGGCCCCGCCCGCAAGCGCCGCGCGCACCTTCACGCTCTGATCGCTGGAGCAGGTCGCCATCCGCCGCCCGTGGAAGTCGAAAGAGACATCGTGGATGAGATCCTTGTGGTCCGCCGCGATGCTGCGAGCCACAAACATGGCTTCCGTCGGGCCCGCGCCTCCGAAGACGACAGTGGCGGCGGCGGCGCGCGGCCCACAGCCTCGCCCGACCTCGCAGCCCGGGAGCGCACGGCGCGTGCTGCCCCCGCCCCCGCACCGCCCTTGCCCATCAAGCCCCGCCCCACCCACGGGCCCGTCCAGCCCCACACGGTCCCCTGGCCCCTCAAGCCCCGCCCAGGCCCCGGCTCATCGTGACTCGCCCCACCCCTCGGTCCCTCAAGCCTCGCCCCGCCCCCTGGCCCGTCAAGCCCCGCCTACTCCCCGGGCCATCATGCCTCGCCCCACCCCCCGCCCCCTCAAGCCCCGCCCTGTCCTCGGCCAGGCGCGTCCTGCGGGACGGGTGCGGGTGCCTCCGGGCTCTGAGCGTTCGGCGGCGGCGGTTGCTCTGCAAAAGGGGAGTTACCGGTGATGAGAAGCAGTGAGAGCTTATTGGTATACTGTGCAAATGAAGAAGGATGAAGAAGTGAAGACTGCTCTCGCGGTCCTCGTCCCGGAATCATTTAAGTCGACGTTTGGATGAGTTTCCCCCCAAACACGTGCGAGGCGCGCGGAGCGGGTGGAGGAGGCGAACCGTGGGCGTGGTCAGGAGCCGCGCTCCGCAGGGACGCCTGAGGAGCCGGGAGGGCCGGGGAGACGCCTGAGGGGATGACGGGCAGTCCAGGCTCAGGCTGGGCAGCCGAAGAGCGCAGGCTGGACGGGGAGGGGGGGATCGGAAGTAGTAGTTTAAATGTGTCAACGTTTTACCGGCAGACCGGGCCCGGGGGTTCCAGGAGCCACCACGGGGTAGAGAAACAGTAGGAATTGCAAGAGCCCGCCTGTAGAAACGTGTCGTCCCGGGGGAAGGAAGCGGCCGGGGAAGTGGGCCGCCTGCTCGCCGGGAGCCGGAGTCCTCGGGGAAAGGAGGTGAAGGGACCAGACCCCCGGGAGGACGCCTGGCTCAGATCACGGGTTTTGCCAAAACGGGAAAGTGGAGGAGCCTCTTCTGAGACGCCAGAGACTCAGGGGGTTTGCTTATAGGAAAAGGCATTCTGGAGGGCGTAGTGGGAAAGTTTCGGATGGAGACAGTGGAAGCTTGCGTCAGGGGAGCGAAAGTACAGAAGAAAAAAAAAACTAAAAATGAGGCTGTAGGAAATCCCTTTGGATTTTGGCCAGGAATGACAAGAATGTGAGATATGGTAAGATTAGCAGGCTGCAAAGGTTTTTAAATGATTGGTCCCAGCTGTCCCCTGACGGATTGCACAGAAACCTGCAAAGAGAAGTGGCGAAATGACCTTTTTCAACCGTAAATAAGATTGTATTGCTACTTTAAGAGGTGGACCCCACCTCTTATGATAACTGATAACAACTATAACTTTTTTGAAGGTCAAAGACACTCATATCCACAGAAAGTGCTCACTATAAAAGTCCAATCAAAATATATTGATTATTAAAATACCAAAACAGTTTAAAAATTCTTTTAATTCAATGTAAATAAAGACAGTAAACAGATCACTGGTTGCCAGAGATTATCAGAGTGGAAGTGAAGTGTTGAATTAGGTGAAACAGTGGATTTTTAAAAATAGACTTCAGTTTTTAGAATACTTTCAGGTTCACAGCAAAATTGAGCAGAAAATAGAGTTCCCACATGTACCCGTACTGCCATACATGCACAGCATCCTCCACTGTCAACGTCCCATACCAAAGTGGTACCCTTGTTATGATAGTGAACCTACATTGACACATCATTATCACCCAAAGTTCAGGCCTGGTGGTTAAGTTACCCTGTAATCCAGCACTTTGGGAGGCCGAGGCAGACAGATTATCTGAGCTCTGGAGTTCAAGACCAGCCTGGGCAACGTGGCGAGACCTGTGTCTCTACTAAAAATACAAAATAAAAATACAAAAAAAAAAAATCCCCAGGAGTGGTGGTGGAGCTGATTGTGCCACGGCACTCCATCCTGGTCAACACTGTCTCAAAAAAAAAAAAAAAAAAAAGGGAGACATTATCTCAAAACACTCTTGGTGTTTTATTCTATGGGTTTTGGCAAAGATATAATGACATGGATCCACCGTTACAGTATTATGCAGAATAGTTTGACTGCCCTGAAAATCCTTAGTGCTCCTGTTCATCCTGTTCATCCCTTTCTTCCGACAACACCTGGCAACCGCTGATCTGTGCACTGACTGCATGGTTTTGGCTTTTCCAGAATGGCATATAATGGGAATCTGGGAGTGGCCAGCCTTTTCAGATTGCCTTCTTTCTTTATAGTAACATGTATTTAAGCTTTCTCGATGTCTTGTCTTGATAGTTCATTTCTTTTTAGTGCTGAATAATATTCCATTGTCAGGCTGTAACAATGTTTATTCATTCACCAACTAACGGGCATCCTGGTTGTTTCTGTGTTTAGGCAATTGTCAGTGAAGCTCCTACAAACATCTGTGTGCAGGTTTTTGGGTGGACATGTTTGCAACTCCTTTGGATGGATACCAAGAAGCATGATTGCTGGATCATATAGTAACAGTAAGTTTAGTTTTGTTTTTGGGGGTTTTGTTTTGTTTTTTGAGACAGGGTCTCTCACTGTCATGGCAGACAATCATGGCTCACTGCAGCTTTAAATTCCCTGGGTTCAGATAATCCTCCCACCTCAGCCTCCCAAGTAGCTGGGACTGCAGGCACAGTGCCACTACACCCAGCTAATTTTTCTATTTTTTGTAAACGTGGGGTTTCACCATGTTGACCAGGCTGGTCTCAAACTCCTGGGCTCAAGCGATGCTCCTTCCTTGGCCTCCCAAAGTGCTTGGATTACAGGCATGAGCCACTGTGCCTGGCCTGGTTTTACAAGAAGCTTACAAACTGTCTTCCAAAGTGGTTGTGTCAGTTCAGGCCTGGTGGCTAAGTTACCCTGTAATCCAGCACTTTGGGAGGCCGAGGCAGACAGATTATCTGAGCTCTGGAGTTCAAGACCAGCCTGGGCAATGTGGCGAGACCCCGTCTCTACTAAAAATACAAAATAAAAATACAAAAAAAATAGCTCCAGGAGTGGCGGTGGAGCCAAGATTGTGCCACAGCACTCCATCCTGGGCAACATTATCTCAAAAAAAAAAAAAATGGGAGACATTATCTCAAAAAAAAAAAAAAGAAAAGAAAAGAATTTAACACGGGAAACTGGTTACAAATATATCCGAGGGGTTAATTAAGAGCAAAAAGGGAACATGTGAGATTACCCAGGGACTAGTAACTACGGGAAACTCTGGGCTGGAAGTGTGAAAGGGAAAATAGTTTTACCCAGAGCTACCATGATTGACTCTCTGAGTCTGCTGACTTTGGCACCTTTACCACCAACAAGCAGAAAGCCAGGAGCCAATACTCCAACTTACACTGCAGGCATCCAACAGAGCAGCAGCCATAGGAGCCCACAAACTCTGAACAGCTGAGGTTCCCGGAACCTCTGCTACTACTGCTGGGGCTAGGGCCGAGTGCTGCTGCTACTGCTGCTGTTCAAATCCCCTCTGAGCAGGAAGCCATGCTCACCCATTGCCACCACTACTCAGCTGTGTGAGCTGCCTCCACAAATTGGATAAAAGGTCTTCTTCCTCTTACATCTGAATCCCCTATGTCTCTCAATGGCAGAACCCAACTAGAAATAGAGAGCTAATAAGAGTCTGGGAAAGCAAATTTGGAGGTTTCCAGTTCGTATTCGGAAAGAATGCGATCTACAATGAAGGCTAGGCATGACAGTTCACACCTGTAATCCCAACATTTTGGGAGGCTGAGGCAGGCAGATCACTTAAGGTCAGGAGTTAGAGACCAGCCTGGCCAAGATGGTGAAACCCTGTTTCTACTAAAAATACAAAAATTAGCTGGGTGTGGTGGTGAGCGCCTGTAATCTCAGCTACTCGAGAGACTGAGGCAGGAGAATCGCTGGAACCCTGGAGGTGGAGGTTGCAGTGAACTGAGATTGTGCCACTGCCCTCCAGCCTGGGCAACAGAGTGAGACTCCATCTCAAAAATATAAATAAATAAATAAATAAATAAATAACCTACAATTAGTTAAGAAGCTTCCACATTTTTTTCCTGCTCTGGGCCAGTTTAAATAGATTCCTATGAAGATTTTGTAGAAGATTCCGTGAAAATTTTGTAGATGACATTCACAAAATTTTATCAGCCTGATGCCTTTGGTGATGATAAGTATAGTTAATTTTAACTACCTTTTAAAATTATTTTATTCATGGCCTCTTCAGATTTTTTACCTTTTGTCAAGACAATTTTGATCATTTATATCTTCCTTTAAAAAATCAGCCATTTTGTTCTGGGCATGATGGCTCATGCCTGTAATCCCAGCACTTCGTGAGGCCGAAGTAGAAGGATTGCTTGAGCTCAGGAGTTCAAGACCAGCCTAGGCAACATAGTGAGACCTCATCTCTACAAAAAAAAAAAATTAGCCAGGTGTGGTGGCGCACGCCTGTATTTCAGCTACTCAAGAGGCTGAGGCAGGAAGAGGATCACTTGAGCCCAGGAGGCAGAGGTTGCAATGAGCTGAAATTGTGCCACTGCACTCCAGCCTGGGCGACAGAGTGAGACACTGTCTCAAATAAATAAATAATCAGTCATTTCACCAAAATATTTAAACTTATTTATATAGAGTTATATATGTTAATTTCTTGCAATTTGTAAAATCTCCGTATCTGATGTAAGGCTTTTTTTCTTGTTTCCATTGCTTTTTGTCTTACTATCTTTTTTCTTAACATTTTGCTTTTCAATGAAGTATAATATAGATTCCAAAATGTACACATATCATAAATGTACAGCTCACTGGATTTTCACAAACTAAACACATTCATGCAGCCATCATCACCTCAAAAAAGGGAGCATGACTCACACCCTTAAAGCTCTCCTGTGGTCCCTTCTGGTCTTTATACCCCTCCCCAAGCAGTAACTACCGACTTCCTTCCTAACAACATAGGTTGGTGTGATGATTAATTTTATGTGTCACCATGGTTAGGCTATGAAGCCCAGTTCTTCGCTCAAACACTAGTCCAGATGTTGCTATAAAGGTATTTTGTAGATGTGATTAATATCTGCAATCAGTTGTGTTCTGTGAAAGGGTCATATTAATATATACGAAGCGGGCCGGGCGCGGTGGCTCAAGCCTGTAATCCCAGCACTTTGGGAGGCCGAGACGGGCGGATCACGAGGTCAGGAGATCAAGACCATCCTGGCTAACACGGTGAAACCCCGTCTCTACTAAAAATACAAAAAACTAGCCGGGCGAGGTGGCGGCGCCTGTAGTCCCAGCTACTCGGGAGGCTGAGGCACGAGAATGGCGGGAACCCGGGAGGCGGAGCTTGCAGTGAGCTGAGATCCGGCCACTGCAGTCCAGCCCGGGCTACAGAGCAAGACTCCGTCTCAAAAAAAAAAAAAAAAAAAAAAAATATATATATATATATATATATACGAAGCGACCTCCAACTGCTGAAGGAGCTGAGAAACCAAAGAAAGAGGCAGACAAATCCAGTTTGTCAGTTTTGGGTGATTTATTACAGCATTCTATTTTGGGGAATTTATTAGGGGATTGTATTTATTGACTTATTAGGGGAACTTACAGACAGAAGTCTTGGGTCTTGCGGTCTTGGGTGGCTGTAAGACAGGTAGATCTCCACTCCACAACCCCCTAGACACACAGCTTACATCTTGGGAAAAAAGCATACGTGCTCTGGAAGGAATGGGTAGGTGGCTGTGGTGTCAGCCTGTGATTTCTGCAACAGCAAAGGTTGTTTTGGAGGCAACTTACAGTAAATAGGTGTTCCTACACAAAGAGTAATATATCAACTAGACATTTTGGAAGCATTCCCAAACTCAGGGTTAGTGGGAACTTACATAGTAGATTGGCATTTTAAATTGGCCAGGGGCGGTGACTCACGCCTATAATCTCAACACTTTGGGAGGCTGAGGCAGGCAGATCACCAGAGGTCAGGAGTTAAAGACCAGACTGGCCAACAGGGTGGAACCCGTCTCTACTAAAAATAAAAAAATTAGCCGGGCGCGGTGGCGGCTGCCTGTACTCTCAGTTACTCAGGAGGCTGAGCCACAAGAATCACTTGAACTGGGGAGGCGGACATTGCAGTGAGCTGAGATCACACCACTGCACTCCAGTCTGGGTGACAGAGCAAGACTCCATCTCAAAAAAAAATAAAAAATGAAAAAGTCACTCTTGTCCCTGTAAGTTGCCTTTAAGTAAAGAAGATTACCCTTGATAAGGTAGCTGGGCCTCATCTATCCAATTGAAGGCCTTAAGATAAAAGACTCAGGTTTCCTAAAGAAAAAAAGAATTCTGCCTCAAGTCTGTAACACAGAAATCCTTCCTGAGTTCCTAACCTACCCTACAGATTAGAGACTCAAGACTGCAACATCATTTCCTAGCCCATGTCCAGCCCACCAGTTTGTCCTGAGAATTTTAGACTTAACAGCCTGCACAATCCCATGAGCCAATTGCTTAAAATAAAACACTTTTGTATTCCTAGAAATAAGACAGAAAGATGTAAATATTGTCTTGTTTCTCTGGAGAACCCTGACTGATACAGGTTTTATACTGAGAGTGGTTCTAGAAGAACAGAATCTTTTTTTTTTTTTTTGAGACGGCGTCTTGTTCTGTTGCCCAGGCTGGAGTGCAGTGGCGCGATCTCGGCTCACTGTAAGCTCTGCCTCCCAGGTTCACACCATTCTCCTGCCTCAGCCTCCTGAGTAGCTGGGACTACAGGCACCTGCCACTACACCTGGCTAATTTTCTTGTATTTTTAGTAGAGACAGGGTTTCACTGGGTTAGCCAGGATGGTCTCCATCTTCTGACCTCGTGATCCACCCTCTGGGTTTACAGGCGTGAGCCACTGCACCCACCCTAGAAGAACAGAATCTTAAGGATGAGTTTTTGTAATTCGTTCTGTGGTTTCTGGAATTGGTTCTCTAATCTGGTTGGATTTTATTTGTTTTGTTTTTCTGTTGTTGTTATTTGTTTGTTCATTTGTTTGCTTGAGAGGAGTCTTGCTCTGTTGCCCAGGCTGGAGTGCAATGGCACAATCTCGGCTCACTGCAACCTCCACCTCCTGGGTTCAGGCGATTCTCCTCCCTCAGCCTCCTGAGTAGCTAGGATTACAGGCAGGCACCACCACGCCTGGCTAATTTTTGTATTTTTGGTAGAGACCAGATTTCACCATGCTGGCCAGGCTGGTCTCAAACACCTGACCTTGTGATCCGCCCACCTCGGCCTCCCAAAGTGCTGGGATTACGGGCATGAGCCACCGCACCTGGCCAATCTGGTTGCATTATAATGCACTAATGACTACTTCCAGTGGTAAAGGAGCACCTATAGTATGATCTGGCAGAAGAGATACCCAAAATACCACCATTGGACACTCCTACACAAATATTCATAAGAGGCAAGGTTCTGGGTGGCCGTATATTTGCCACCTTAGAACATTTTTATCAACTTAATGAGTATAATGAAATTGGCTGGTGCTGTTAATTGTGCTTGACAAGATAGGAAAAGAAAGCATGAACTCAGGGTTTCAAACTCCCAGCTCAACTACTACATAACTGAATGAAACGTTTCTGTCTGCCCTGAAAAAAAAAAGAAAAAGAAAAGAGAAGAAAAACACATCTCCTGTCGCCACAGAGCTGATGTTTCTGAAAGCCAAATCCAGAGTCTCATCCTGCAAGTGGTTGAATTATGACACAAATTGAGTTCCCAACCTCACAGGAGCCTCTGCTGTTAATGTAAGGGCAGGAATTGGGAAGAACAGGGTCCTGAATTATTTTCTCTCTCCTACTGTCTTCATATGAGAAGGACACCTAAAAATGTGAATGGGGACCTGTGGGCAGATCCTGGTGAAGCTGGGGACAATGAGCTCCTAAATTCTGTGCAGTCTTCTCTGCCAGTAGAAGCAAGCCTTCCATCCTATCTGAGGACATTGACTGACTATCACTCAGGAGCCTGTGGTGGCCTCTTCTGAGGTAGCTGCCTCAGAAGACAGTGCTGATTCCTCAGGACCTACCCTAGGAACACCTCTTTGCTTCTAGAACTATGACAAGACTCAAGTCCCTACAGGCCCCAAAAGGTGAGATCCAAAGTGTGGCTCAGGAGGTTCACTGTGCTCCGAACGAACTGCACAATGGTTCCAGTTTGTACAGACACATCTTGGGAATGAGTGTTAGGGTGTGGGATAGTGATGGAAGGAACATGAAGTTGGACTGGGGGTAATTTATTGAGATGGGCCCACTGCTCAGATCTTCTGGATTCAGTGCTGCGCCTCCAGGTCTTAGAAAAGGGCTCTGACAGTTTGGTGTGGCTGAAGCATGGACCAAAACGTGGCCCACACTAAATACAGCTGAAATGGCAGAGCTGACTTTGTGCACTGTAGAGGAAGGTATAGGGAGGTCAGAATATTAGATTTAACGTGTGACCTCCACTCACCCACCCTAGGAGCATCCGGAGGACATGGCTTTCGCCATGACTGAGAAACGCACTTGTGAGGGGAGCCCCTGCATCCCTGAGGAGTCCTGTGGTTGCGTTTCCTTGTAGGTTGGAAATTGCAGTGGGATCTACTGTCATGGAACTGGGAATCCTTAGATGCAGTGCAGACAATTGGTTTCTGGGATGGAAGGGGACAAGTGGCAACACGTAATTGCCAAAAGCAAGGAGAACATAGTCACCGTAATGGGCAGTAGAGTCAAACTGGTAATAATAGTCTGACCGGTGGAGACCTATGGCATTGGCTGTTGATCGTGGTGTCCCTAGAAGAGAGTAGACAGACAACCTGTTAAATTCTTACTTTATCTGTATAATTAGAAGAGTTCTAGGTCAAGTGAACAAACACCTAACTTGAATCATAAAAACAGAGTCGCAGCTCTTCACTCAATTCCCAGACTTGAACCAGTTTATGACCCAGAATCCCTCAAACGAAGGGAAATCAAGGTGGCCTTGAGGAAGGACCCTGCTGCACTGTCAAGAATGTTAATCTTCCTCTCAGGTGTCCCCAAAGGGACCTATGGCCTTTTACCATGGTGATTGTACATTGTGAAAAAGAAAATAATCAGACTTTTGTGTAATTACTGAACTGGCTCTGAACTCACGCTCATTCCAGGAGGCCATTCAGAGTAGGGGCCTATGGAAGTAAAATGGTCAATGGAACCCCGGTCCATCTCGCACCGGGCCAGTGGGTCCCTAAACCCATCAGTGGTTACTTTCCCAGTTCCTGGATGCATAGCTGGTATAGACCAACTAGTTCCTCAGCAGCTGGCAGAATCCCAACGCTGGTTCCTGTGGAGTGAGAGAGATTGTGGTAGGAAAAGCCAAGTGAAAGCCACTAGAACTGCCTCTTCCCAGGAAAAACAGTAAACCAAAAACTCTCCCAAATTGCTGGAGGGATTTCAGAGATTAGCGTCATCATCAAGGACTTGAACAAAGCAGGGATGGCGACTTCTACCGCATCCCCTTCAATTAGCTTATTTGGCCTGTGGAGAAAAAAGATGGGTCTTGGAGAATGACACCTGTATACTTAACCAGGTGGCCACACCAATTGCAACTGCTGTCTCAGATATGGTTTCACTGCTTGAGTAAGTTAACACATGCCTTGGTGCCCTGGTACTTGGTGTGCAGCTATCGATTGGCAAGTGCTTTTTCCTCAATATCTGTTAATAAAGATTACCAGAAGCAATTTGCTTCCAGCTGGCAAGGCCAGCAATACACCTTTACTGTTTTATTAGTCTACTCAGGCTGCCATAACAAAATACCACAGACTGGGTGGTTTAAACAACAGAAATTTACTTTTTTTTTTTTGAGACAGAGTCTCGCTCTGTCGCCCAGGCTGGAGTCCAGTGGCACGGTCTTGGCTCACTGTGACCTCCACCTCCATTCAAGCAATTCTCTTCCCTCAGCCTCCCAAGTAGCTGGGATTACAGGCGTGCACCACCACACCTGGCAAATTTTTGTATTTTTGGTAGAGACAGGGTTTCACCAACTTGGCCAGACTGGTCGCAAACTCCTGACCTCAGATGATCCACCCTCCTCAGCCTCCCAAAGTGCTAGGCATGAGCCACTTCACCTGGCCCAGAAATTTACTTTTTCACAGTTCCAGAGGCTAAAAGTCCCAGAAGGAGGTGCTGGCAGATTTGATTTCTATTGAGGACTCTCTTCTTGGCTTGTAGACAGCAACCTTTTCTCTGCGTCCTCACACGGCCTTTGTTCTATGCTTGTGCGTAGAGCGAAATCTCTGTTTTCTCTTCCTTTTCTTATAAGGTCACCAGTTGTATTAGATAAGGGCTCCACTCTTATGATCTAATTTAATTTTAACTACCTCCCTGAAGGCCCTCTCTCCAAACATAGTCAGATTAGGGGTTAGGACATCAACATAAGAATTTGGAAGCGGCCGGGCGCGGTGGCTCAAGCCTGTAATCCCAGCACTTTGGGAGGCCGAGACGGGCGGATCACGAGGTCAGGAGATCGAGACCATCCTGGCTAACATGGTGAAACCCCGTCTCTACTAAAAAAAATACAAAAAATAAGCCGGGCGAGGTGGCGGGCGCCTGTAGTCCCAGCTGCTCGGGAGGCTGAGGCAGGAGAATTGCGCGAACCCGGGAGGCGGAGCTTGCAGTGAGCAGAGAGCGGGCCACTGCACTCCAGCCTGGGTGACAGAGCGAGACTCCGTCTCAAAAAAAAAAAAAAAAAGAATTTGGAAGAATACAATTCAGTCCATAACAACTGTCTTACGTCAGGAGTAGATTAAAGTCTCCGTTCCTATCATAATATAGTCTTCAGGGATTTTGATCGCCTTTCTTTTCCACAAGACATCACACCAGTTTAGTACATTGATGACATTATGCAGATTGGGCCTGATGAGCAAGATGTAGCAACTGCTGTAGACTTATTAGTAAGAAATGTGCATGTCAGAGAATGGGAAATGAATCCAACCAAAATTCAGGGGACTTCTCCCTCAGTGAAATTTCTGGGGATCCAGTGGTGTAGGGCATGTCAAGATATTCCTCACAAAATGAAAGACAAGTTGTTACATTTGGCTCCTCCCGTAACCAAAAAAGAGGTACAATGCCCTTTTGGATTTTGGAGGCAAGACATTCCTCATTTGGGTGTGCCACTGCAGCTCATCAGCCAAGGGACCCAAAAGCTGCTGGTTCTGAGTGGGACCCTTGGCTTCTAGTCCTGCTACACAGTCTTATCTGTTCCAGCCCCATCTATGGCCTCATACAGCGTTTCCTACAATCAGTTGACTGAGGAAGACAAGACGAGATATACCAGGCATGTAGATGGTTCCACATGGTATGCAGGCACCCCAATATGGAGAACTGCAGCAGAATAGTCCCTTTCTAGGACATCCCCGAGAAACAGTGGTGAAGGGAATTCCTCCCATCAGGAGCAATCCCCAACTTCGGGCAGTGAATCCAGTGGTTTTTGTTTGGAAGGAGACATGGCAAGAGGTTTAATTGTATATTAATTTATGAGATTTTGCTTAATGGTCAGGGACTTGGAAGAAGTATTATTGGAAATTGGTGATAAGGAAATTTGATGTCTCTCTCTCTCCGAATGAGCAAAAAATGGAAGATATTTGTGTTCCGTATGAATGCCCACCAAAGGGTGACATCTGCAGAGAAGAATTTTAATAGTAGGATAGAAAAACCTGTTCTGTGGATGCCAGGCAGTCTCTTTCTGTAGCCATCTCCGTTGTGCCCGGTGAGTTCATGAACAAAGCAGCCATGGTGTCAGGGATGGAGGTTACACATGGGTTCAGCAACGTGGACATCCACCCACTAAGGCCAACCTGGCTACACCCACCACTGAGTGCCCAATCTGTCAGCGGTAGAGACCAACGTTGAGGCTTCAATATGGCACCATTCCCCAGGATGATCAGCCAGCTACAGGTGGCATGTTGGTTATGTTGGACGCCTTCCATCATGGTAGGTCGGTATTTTGTTCTTCCTGGAGTGGACACTTAGTCCGAATATGGATTTGCTTTCCCTGTACACAATACCTCTGCCAAAACTTATCCATGAATCCACAGAATGCTGTATTCACCACTGTGGTAGATTCCACAAAGCATTGCTTCTATCCTATTCAGCCTGTTCTATTCTACTCACTGTTCTGTTCTGCCTACTGCTTCAGGATGGTGGGGAACGTGGTAAGACCAGTGACTTCCATGAGCCTGTGCCCATTGCTGCACTTTTTTTTGCTGTGAAGTGAGTGCCTTGATCAGAACAGTGAAATGGCCTTTTGAAGACTCAGATACAGTGTCAGGTAGGTGGTAATGCTTTGCAGGGCTGGGGCAGTATTCTCCAGGAGGTTGTGTATGCTTCAAATTAGCACCCAAGGGGCTGGGCATGGTGGGTCACGCCTGTAATCCCAGCACTTGGGGAGGCTGAGGTTGGGGGATCACTTGAGCTCAGGAGTTTGAAGCCAGCTTGAGACACATAGCAAGACCCTGTCTCTAAAAAAAAAAAAAAAAGTTTAAAAAAAATTAGCTGGGTGTGGTGGTATGCACCTGTACTCCCAGCTACTCAGTAAGCTGAGATAGGAGGGTCACTTGAGCCCAGAAGGTCAAGGCTGCAGTGAGCCTTGATCATGCCACTGCACTCCAGCTTGGGTGACAGAGCAAGACCCTGTTTCAAAATAAATAAATGTAAGTTAGCATCCAATATAGGGTGCTGCTTCGCCAATAGCCATGCTACACAAGTCCAGGAATCAAGGGATGGAAATGGAAGTGGCACCATTTGCTATTACCCCATGCTGACCCCCTAGCAAAGTGTTTTCTTCCTGTCCTGTGACCTAATGCTCTGCTGATCTAAGTCTTATTTCCAAAGGGAAGTGCTTCCACCAGGGAAAACAAAAGTGATTCCACTGAACTCTCAGTTAAGATGCCACCCAGCCAGTTTGGGCTCCTCATGCTTCTGAATCAACAGGCTAAGAAGGGAGCTGCTGTGTTTTTTCGGATGATTGGTGCTGGCTACCAAGGGAAAATTGGGCTGCTACTCCCCCACGGAGGTAACTAAGAGTGCTTCTGGAGTACAGGCGATCTCAATATTACTCTTCACCGTGATTAAGGTCAATGGAAAACTATAACAGCCTAATTCAGGCCATACTACTAAATGGTCCAAACTCTTCGGGAGGGAAGGTTTGGGTCACCCCACCAGGTGACAAACCGTGACCGGCTGAGGTGCTTGCTGAGGGCAAAGGGAATCTGGAATGGGTAGTGGAAGCAGGTAGTTATAAATACCAGCTACAACCACATGGCCAGTTACAAAAATGCTGACGGTAATTGTTATGAGTATTTCTTCCATATTTGGTTACAAATGTGTTGTGTGTGTGTGTGTGTTTAGAAAATATCTTTGTCGTCTTCTCTCTCTTATTCCCTTATATAACATAAGATATATCTTAGTATTTCAGTTATAGGATACCAAAGAGAAGAGTAAACATGACCCAAGAACCCTACGTCCTCTTCTGGGGAAGGGTTAGTGTGTCTCTGGTCTTACCCAGGATAGTTGAATCAGATGAGGCGCAAGCATGATTTTGCTGTTATTTGGAGATTAAGTATAGTTTAAGGATATATGTAGAGGTGCCAAGTTGACAAAGACTTGACTGCAGTAGTTAATTTTATTTATTTATTTATTATTTTGAGACAGGGTCTCACTCTGTTGCCAGGCTGGAGTGCGGTGGCGTAATCTCAATTCACTGCAACCTCCATCTCCCGGGTTCCCTCCATTCTTCTGCCTCATCCTCCTAAGTAGCTGGGACTAAGGTGCCCGCCACCACACCCGGCTAATTTTTGTATTTTTAGGAGAGACGGGGTTTCACTGTGTTAGCCAGGATGGTCTTGATCTCTTGACCTCATGATCCACCCACCTCGGCCTCCCAAAGTGCTGGGATTACAGGCATGAGTCACCGCGCCCGGCCTGCAGTAGTTACTTTTATGTGCCGCTGTAGTTAAGCTATGGTGCCCAGTTGTTTGCTCAAACACTAGGTCTAGAAGTTGCTGTGAAGATGTTTCGTAGGTGTGACTAATATCTATAATCCATTGACTTTCAGGAGATTACCCTCCATAATGAGAGTAGGCCTCACCCATTCAGTTGAAGGACCTGAGAGCGAAGACTGAGGTTTCCCAGGGAAGAAGAAGGAATTCTGCCTTAAGACTGTGCACAGAAATCCTGCCAGACTTTCTGCTTTGCTGGCCTACAGGTTATAGACCAGCCAGGCCCCCAATCACATGAGCCAATTCCCTTAAATAAATTCCTTTAAAATATATCCATGTATCTCCTATTAGTTCTCTGTGAAAACCTGACTCGTACAGTTAGTTTCACCTGTTTTGTGACATTTCACTTGTTTTGTATGAAATTACCTGTGCATGAAATTACACAATCTGCACTTTTCCTACCCAGCTCCTTTTGTTCTGCACGACCTTGGTGAGATTCATCCCTGCTTTCCTCAGGTTCATCCGTGAACTGTGCGTGCACTGTGGGGTAAGACCCGCCGTCTGCATGTGCAGCGTGCCTGTGAGACAGGAGCCAGCAGGTGGCACTACGACATCTCAAATGGAACTTGGAAAAGTCCTGTAACTGCAAATTCCCAGGTGTTAGCCACAGCTGAATTTTTCAGTGGTCTGTCACAGGGCAGACAGCTTATCGTCAAACTGGAAATAAAATCTTTACATTTCTAAATTTGATGTTAATTGAGTTGATAAAATTTGGCCGGGCGCGGTGGCTCACGCCTGTAATCCCAGCACTTTGGGAGGCCGAGGCAGGCAGATGACTTGAGGTCAGGAGTTCGAGACTAGCCAGGGCCAACATGGCGAGACCCGTCTCTACTAAAAATACAAAAATTAGCTGGGTGTGGTGGCGGGGGCCTGTAATCCCAGCTACTTGGGAGGCTAAGGCAGGAGAATTGCTAGAACCCAGGAGGCAGAGGGTTAGGGTTAGGGTTAGGGTTAGTGTCAACGCCCTGGAGGGGTCTGGGACTTTCCTTGCCAGCTAATGTATTGGGCTGTCACAGACTCGTGGATATGGATACTGGCAGGAGCTGTGTTTTGTTTTTTAATGTTTATTTTATAGACAGGGTCTCACTCTGTGGTCCAAGCCGGAGTACAGTGATGCAATCATTGCTCACTGCAGCTTCAAATTCCTGGGCTCAAGCGATCCTCCTGCCTCAGCACCTCCAAAGTTCTGGGACTACAGGCATTAACCACCGTGCCCAGCTAAAAGCCGTGTTATTATTTACAACAATCACTGTAGCCATAGTACCCACATTTCCTTGCCCTGTCTGAGTCCCAGCATGTGGGGCCGGATGACACCTGCACAGGCAGTGGCTTGCAATTCAGGACAATCTCTGAGCGTGGGGGCCCTGAATGTTTGACAATGGGCAGTAAGGCTGCCTATCCATTTGCTCTGGAAAGAGCTGCTCTTTCTGTCTTCCAAGCAACTTCCCTTTGCCGTAAGCAGTGCAAGCAAACTGCCCATTGCTTTGGAGAAAGACACTATTGTTTGTCTTCCAAGGTTGTTCATTTCACCAACATTGTTGAAAAGGTAACCCAGAACAAAGGGAAGGCAAACATGCAAAGACTGCAAGACGTGCAAAAATGTGAAACACCCAGGGAGACTTGTCTGGCAAGAGGAGTATAGAGGATGAGGAGGGTCCTTTTCCCCGGAGGTGTGCTGGGGGAGAAAAGTGTGCTGCTAGAATGGAGAAGGTGGCTGCAGAATGGCGCCTCTAGGCTTTCTGAGGAGTCACATCAGTCCTCTGCACCAGGAGGCTGCCATCTGCACAGTAACGGGCTGCCTGGGGCCCATGGCCTTGAGTGGCATTCCCCTCTGGAACTTTTGGGCAGTGGTGTTCTTGTCTCCCCCTGGCAAGCACTGTAGACAACGTCATGCAGACGTCCTTTGCTCCTCACACCTGTGCTCTGGAGGGGAGAGCCTTTCTAAGCCGAAAGAAGCCGCGAGTGCATGTTTTCCTTTCTGATTGAGGTCCAAGGCGAGAGGAAGCTCTTGCAGAGGCAATAGCAGTGCTGAGAAGGGCAGAGCCAGGTGGCAGGAGCCCAGGAGAGCCACCTTTCTACCTTAGGTCAACAGTCCTTCTGTTGAGGGAAACCCTTGCTATTCTAGCCACTCTCCTAGTGTATAAGCAGCAACAGTTGGGGCAGGGATGAAGGGCTCAATCTCTTTCCTGTGACGGAGTCAGAGAGCGTTTTGGATTGCCTTGCCAAGAAGGGTGTATGTTGCAGGCCTGGGACGCCTGCAGTGGCTGGGACTAGGGAAGGGCGCGTCTTCCTTGATGACTTCCCTGGGATCTTTTCTTCCCACTATAAGTTGTATTATGTATTGAAAGGACACAATTGGAGTAAAATTACAGAATTACAGACTTTCATTGGAGGAAAGGACCTCAGAGATGGCCTAGTCCAGTAGTTTCTTAGCCAAGATCCTGGGACTACTCAGGCCTTCATGGATGGGTTTCAAGTATCCAGCCTTCTTCTAGTGTGACACATTTGACTTTCCAGAAGTTTGTCAGGTGACTGGGATCAAACCATTCCTAGGTGACAGGTAAGTAACAGAACAGATGGGTCTCTGGAGTTTGGGCAGGAAGAGGTCAGTGTAGCCAGGCAGAGTCAGATGTGGCTGGCATCAGGAAGCAGGCCTTGAGCCAGAGAAGTTCTCAGGCCGTTGTGATCGTGGTGGCAATGGCAGCCACCTTGGTGTCCAGCGGCTCCAGCGTCCTCCACTGTAAACTGCAGGGCCAGAGAAGTTCTCAGGCCGTTGTGGTCGTGGCAGCCACCGTGGTGTCCAGCAGCTTCAGCGTCCTGCACTGTAAACTGCAGGGCCAGAGAAGTTCTCAGGCCCTTGTGGTCGTGGCGACACCGTGGTGTCCAGCAGCTTCAGCGTCCTGCACTGTAAACTGCAGGGCCAGAGAAGTTCTCAGGCCGTTGTGGTCGTGGCGGCCACCGTGGTGTCCAGCGGCTTCAGCATCCTGCACTGTAAACTGCAGGGCCAGAGAAGTTCTCAGGCCGTTGTGTGCATTAGCGGCCACCGTGGTGTCCAGCAGCTTCAGCGTCTGCACTGTAAACTGCAGGGCAGAGAAGTTCTCAGGCCGTTGTGGTCGTGGCACCGTGGTGTCCAGCAGCTTCAGCGTCACACTGTAAACTGCAGGGACAGAGAAGTTCTCAGGCCGTTGTGGTCGTGAGGCCAGAAGTTCTCAGGCCGTTGTGGTCGTGGCGGCCACCGTGGTGTCCAGCGGCTCCAGCGTCCTCCACTGTAAACTGCAAAAAGGAAACTTTATGGTGCTTTATGTCAAGAATTTCGTGTTTAAGCAACACAATAAAAAATGACTGGGTGTCCCTATTCAGATGGACTTTGTTGGGGTGTGAGATTCATTTTGTGAGTCCTGGGGGAGAACACTCTGCATAGACAAGATGGGACCCCAGATGCCAGACTGGAGGCTCTGGACTTCATCCTGTAAGCCAAGGAGAGCAATTGGCCATAAGCAGGGAAACTGGCAACCACTGCAAGAACTGCAGGAATTGCCTCTGGAAGACACTGGAAGAATGAGAGAGTGGGGAAGGAAGCACAAGGTCTTCGCAAGCATTCTTTGCCCAGCACACAGCAAGTTCTTAAAAATGTTTGGAGAGAGAGAGGGAGGAAGACAGAATGCTCCATGATCAGTCCTACCAACATGCTTGTAAGAATCAGCTGGGATCCACTTCAATCTTTCTGTAAAGGGAGAAATAGGAGTGCATGCCGCCACCGGTACTCCTCACTGCTATTGTAACTAACGTTTGCATGTCCTCTTCCCCTTGTCACAAAGGGCAGTTACTGTTCCCAAGTTCTTATGTTGTAATGGGGCTTGTTGTCCTGGGACCTGAGAAAGAAAATTGAGTTTTCGGTTAATGCGACCACTACCCCAGGGCCTGTTTATTTGGGACAGCTGCTGTGTAATGCTATAGTCTAGGGAGACATGGAAATTTTTTTGTAGGTCACTTTTAAGAAATAGTTTGAGATGGCTCTGGAAACTTTCTGAGCCCTTTGGGTTCCAATATTCTAGGTAGAGATTTAGTCCTCGCTCCGACATCGCAACAAAGTTCATTTTGAATGGCACAGTGTGGTGGCTGAATAATAATGGCCCCCCAAATATGTCCACGTCCCACTCCCCAGGACCTGTGAATAGGTTACTTTACATGGTAAAGGACCTTTGCAGATGTGAGCAAGTTAAGAGGCTTGAGGTGGGGAGATGGTCCTGGCTTACTTGGGTGGGCCCCGTGTGACGGAACAGTCCTTGTAAGGGGGTGGCAGGAGAGTCAGTGTCAGAGGAAATGTTATGATTGGAGTGATGCGGCCATCCTTGCAGTGAGACGCCGGCTTCCCTTCGTTCTGGGTTACCTTTTCAAGAATGTTGGTGAAATGAACAGCCATGGAAGACAGACAACAGTGTCTTTCTTTCTCCAGAGCAAAAGGCGGTTTGCTCTCACTGCTTACAACAAAGCGCAGTTGCTTGAAAGATAGGGTAGCTCTTTCCAGAGCAAATAGACAGCCCTGGAAGCTGGAAGGGGTAGGGCAGGTGCTATGGTCTGAATGTTTGTGTCTCCCCAAATTCACGTGTTTCCTTCTAACTCCCAAGGTGATGATATTGGGAGGTGGGGTCTTGGGGAGGTGATTAGGTCGCGATGGTGGACCCTCATGATTGAAATTGGCATCCTTGTGAAAGAGGCCCACCAAAAGAGCTAGCTTGCCCCTTCCAGTGAGAAGATGAACCCTCACCAGACACCAAATCCATCTTGATCTTGCACTTCCCGGCCTCCATACTATGAGCAATACATTCCTGTTGCTTAGAAGTCACCCAATTTGTGGTATTTTGTTATAGTAGCCCAAACAGACTAAAGCAGAATGGATATTCTCCAGGGCCTCCTTAAGACAAATGTTAAACTTCTGATCTTTAAAGCCGTAAGAACAAATTTGAGTTGTTTTAAGCGAAGTGTGTGGCCATCTGTTACACAGCAAGCATTTATTCTCACAAAGGATGCTCTGTCGGCCTCCCCTCCCGCTGAGAACCGTGCTGGCCTGGCACGGTGGTCTCCAGCTTCACTTTCCCTTGGAATCCTGTGGAAAATTTTGAAGATCCTCTTGCCCAGGATCTGCCCCAGATTAACTGAATGAGAATCTCTGGGAGTAGGACCCAGCATCGTCATCATCATTCCTTTTGTAAATAGAGAATAATCTACATGACATGGAAATATACATGTATTAGATGTTTACTTCAAAGACACTTGACAGTTGTAGACACCCCTGTAACCGCCATCCAAAACGAGACACAGAGTATCCCTATCACAACTGAAAGTTGTGTCTGTAATGCCCCTTGCAATGAACTCCAACCCCAAGAGGCAACCACTTTCAGACTTCCATCACAACAGATGAGTTTTATCTCTTCTTAGACTTCACATAAATGGAATCACATGGCTTGTTTTTTGGTAGGTGTGGCTTCTTTTGCTCAAAACAGTGTTTCTGAGATTCACCCATGTGGCTGTATGTTCCTTTTTATTGCTGAGTAATGTTTGGTTACATGAATATATCATGATGTATTTATCCATTTTGATGGTGATTGATTTTTTAATTGTTTACAGTTTTGGGCCATTATGAATGAGGCTGAGGTTTCGAAGCGGGGCCACAGTCCTTGACACTCTCACCAGAAATGGTTTCTACAGCCCCGCCCACTGGAGCCAGGTGGGTTTGCGATTGCTTCAACTAGTAGAGACTAGTAAGAGATTGAACTGTGTCCCTCAAAATTCACATGTCGAAGTCCTAATCCCTAGTGTGACTGTATTTGCAGGTAGGACTTTTAGGGAGGCAATTACAATTAAATGAGGTTATAAGGGTGGGGCCCTGATTCAACAGGCCTGGCGTGTCCTCACAAGAAAAAGAGGAGGCACCAGATCTCAGTCTCTCTCCCTCCCTGCACAGGTGCAGAGGGAAGGAACTGGGAGCACACAGCAAGAAAGTGGTGGCATTTTATTATGACAGCCCGAGTAGACTATTGCAGACACTATGTTGCTTCTGAGGCTATGTTTAAAAAGGCCATGCAAATAAACAGGCTGGGCAGCTTCCCAGAGCTGGGAGTTCTCTGGGAACACTGGCGTCAGGGCCCTGAGCCTGCCATGCTGGGAGGCCACTGCCAACACTCCAGACGGAAGTCCTGGTTGGCCCAGTCTTCAGCCACCCAGCCCCAGTGCTGGTGCGTGAGTGGGAGGGCCCCTGGGGACAAGCTGTGCCCGACATTGGCAGTCATGGGGCAGACAAGGGCTGCTCTGCTGTGCCCCTTCTCAGTTCCTGAGCACGGGCGGAATTGATGGGCATGAAAAATGCTGGCTGTATTTCACCATCGTAGGGGGATTTTTCTAGTCACACTGGATAAACTGGAACAATGTCGTACGAGCATTCTCGGAGGAGTCTCTTTTGGGAACCTATTCGTTTCTCTCCCCATTAAGTACGTAGGAAGGAATTTCTAGGTTGAAGATTAAAGTTGTTATAAAGATTTGCTCTAGTTCTCCCACGTGGCTGTCCTATTTTAAACTCCCCACAGCCATGTGCAAGAGCTTCCGTCGCCCACGTCTTTGCCAGCATTGGTGTGATCATCTTTTCGATGTTGACCCTCCCAGCGAGTGTGAAAGGACGTCTCATGGTCATTTTATTTTCAGTCCTTTGATTGCAAATGGTGTTGAGCATCTTTCCATTTGCTTATTGGCTATTCGTATGTTGTCTTTTCTGAAACATGTATTCTAGTCTTTTGCCCATTTTTAAACACTGTTGTTTCTCTTTTCTTTAGTTCATTTGTGGGAATTCTGTGTATATTCCACGTACAAGACATCTGTCAGATAAATGAGTTGTGAATATTTTCCCCAGTCTACGTGACGTTAGTAGTTTTCAGAGCTCCACAGATGACTCCAGCATGTAGCCAAGGTTGAGACCATTGGCCTAGTGCTTTTTTCGTTCTTTTCCTGGAAGGACAAAGCTGGGGTCCAGTATGGAGGTTGGGAATCAAATCGCCTGGCTTTGACTTGCCTCGAACACTTGCCTACCATGTGACCCTCGGCAGGTCACTTAAAATGACCTAAAATGACTTCTCACCTCCATTTTCTCACCTCTCAGATGGGGTTGAGAATCGGGCTCTAGAAAGACTGTTTTAATAATTAAGTGATCGTAAGCAGGTGTCTCTGCTGCCACTACATGCACAGATTATGATATTTGCAGGACAGTATCAGGTTTCAACTTAAAATTTCTCATAGTTACAGAGAATATCTTCTATTTTAGGCAAAATTTTCAGATCACCAATATTTACCATAGATGAAAGACTAGGAGTGTGGGGGTTATTATAACGCTTTAGATACGTGAGGAAATTGTACAAAATAATATCTCCATGGGGTATTTATTTGTTTTTTAATGCCTTGTACTTCAAGTGAAAGAAAGGAATGGAGGACAGACAGTGCAGGCAGCAAGGGCTGGCAGTGGCACGGAGTCTGGCATTGCAGATACCCTAAATGCAAACCTTTGAGGCTGAAATGGGCACGAGACATGTCACATATTCAGCAATCCTAAATCAGTTCACTCTCATACTTGTATTCTCTGAGAATCGAAGCTCATGTCTGCAAGCAACTGTCTAAGCCTGCGACAACATACAGCTTCAGGTCACATCAACACAGGAATCAATCCACACTAAACGTATGTGACCTTATTATCGTCGTGCTTTAATCAGAGCAATGTACATTTATAGAATGCTTTCATGTATGTATTTTAGGCTGATTTATAGCAACTGTGTAAGGAAATGTTGGAAGAGATTATTAGGATCATCTCAGTTTTGCAGATAAAGAAGCTGAGGCTCAGAGGTCACATGGTTAGTAAGGCTCAGAGCTGGCACAAGGAGCCAGATCTTCCAACTCCAAGTCCGGCACCTTTGCACACCACACCAGGGCTTCTCAAACTGCAGCTCACTTCTACAGCTCACCTGGGGGTCTTGTTAAAATGCAGATTCTCACACAATAGGTCTGGGATGGGGCCAAGTGCTTCTTTTTCTGATAAGCTTCAGGTAGTGCTGATACTGATCCATGGATCATATTGTGAGTGGCCAGGCACTACACCACGCTCCATTTCAGTCAATCAACTAGTCGTATGCCTGGTTCTTCAATAGTTGTCATTATACACTGCCGACTGCAGAACAAAAACCACTTCCAGGTTGCCTTTCAGCTGGGTATCACCTTCCAAGGGTAAGTCCCACTGATGAGCCCAACTGCAGCTTTGTTCTCCTTAGATGTGCTCCCCTTTTCCCAGGAATGTCTAGGGGAGACAGAGCCAAAGACTGCATCCAGGTGAACAAAGGTCCTTTCACCAGCAAGCTTCCTGCCCTAATGTTCTTCAAGGGAGGTGATTGGAGAAACGGTTGTGAGTCAGCCTTTTCCTCACAGGAATTCTGTCTTGGAAGAAAGAGAAATAATATAGAAAATGTGGCTTATAACCTGGTAGCCAACTGCTTTTGTGAACGGTCAGTTACCACTCTTGTTCTGGAATCTATCTGCAAATGTGTATGTGTGCTGCTGCCACAATAGACAGCGAGTCACAAAACACACACAGTGAAATGGCACAAGGTTTCTCTAAAGGCAGCGGACACAGAAGGCTACACAGAGGAGGAAGAAGTATGGCATTTCCAGCTGGACGTGCAGGACCCTGCGTTCCCCAGATCCTCCCAGGCACGCGCATCTGCCAGTCTCCCTGGCAGAGGAACATACTGTCAGGCATATGAACACACCCTTTGGCACCCTGAAGGGCTTTACCCCTTCTTCTACTCTCCTGCCTGTTCTGAGGACCATGCCCCAGGTGCAGACATGCAAAACAGCAGAGACCCTCTGACTGCCCACTGCCTGCCAGGTAAGTCGGACCACTCCAAGCTGTTGGGCGAGAGCCAGAGCAGATGGTCCGAGTCCCTGCAGACCTGGTCCAACTGCGTGTATCCCACCAGCGGGGTGTGTGTCTGTCTGTCTAGCTGCTTTTTCTTTTCTTTTTTCTTTTTAAGACAGAGTGTCCCTCTGTTGCCCAGGCTAGACTGCAGTGGCACGATCTTGGCTCACTGGAGCCTCTGCCTCCCAGGTTCAAGCAATTCTCCCACCTTAGTCTCCTGAGTAGCTGGGATTATAGGTGTGCACCACCAGGACTCTCTAATTTTTGTATTTTTAGTAGAAACGGGGTTTCTGCATGTTGATCAGGCTTGTCTTGAACTCCTTACCTCAAGTGATCCGCCCCCACTCAGCCTCCCAAAGTGCTGGGATTACAGGTGTGAGCCACCGCGCCCGGTCCGTCTCTTTTTTATTCTACTCTCTTTGGCACTTCTCTCTCTCCTACCGTCCTCCTTGAGGCTCATCCTCCCTTGTCATTTGTCCAGACCAGAATGTTGCTCCCACATGTCTTGCCTTAGGCCATGTCTCCTGACACATTTGGCTCCTCTTTGGTATCTAGAAACACTCCGAAGGGGCTGGATGGATGGAGAGCTGAGGAGGCAGGTTAGGGGTTAGGGGTCTGGAAAGGGCTGACCATTAGCTGGGAAGTCCCCGTTCAGTGACTGGTGGGCATCTGTTCTGATTCATCAGTGCCCTCACCATCCTGGCCCTTACATATTTTGAATATCTCCTCTAGGTCTGGGGACACAGAAGAAGGGCAAGCAGTTCCTGTGCGGAAGGAGGAAGAGCCATGATGAGCACAGGCTTTGAGGCAGCACTGAGTCCTCGGACTCTCCTGCAACTGGGTGCCCTGTCTCCCCTGTGCCTCCACAGCTCTGTCTACGCTGCATGGAAAAGGGTACCTTCAGCTCCTGAGTGCAACACAGAGATGGGAACAAACCAAGCCATTAGCACAAGAAGGGCCAGGACAGCTAAACTTAGCTAATTGAACGACCAAGTTTTGGGAGAAAGATTATGGAGTCTGGGCTTCTTTCCCTTTGGCCCATCTTTAGAACGGGAGGATGCTCCTTATTCAGTCCCCTGAGGTTTTCCTGCACCGAGCTCTTGCATACAACAAGAATAGCACCAGGCCATAGAGAATAATTTGCCAGGCAATTATTAAGTGTTTTCCGAAAGTGATGTTGCTTTGCAAAATGTTTTAAAATAAATTGGATGTGCATTTCCACTTAGAGATGAAGAGAAGCATATCACTTGGCTTCATTTAATAATGATTTAGATGATGGTAAGAAGAGCAAGTAAATTCAAATTAGATTATTGATTTTCATGATTATAAATTAGAATCCAACAAAAATAAATGACAGATATTTTTCTATATGAATACATTTAATTCTTAGAAAGTTGCCTGAAAAATACATATTAGCCACTCTATGTGATGAATGGATATGCTCACATTGGTATTTATAAAGTCCTTGCAGAGTCCAGGTCTTCACAATGAATTACCAGACAGTCATTTTTCTCAGTGACGCTGGAGGACAACGTAATGGATTCTTCTGCACGGCGCCTGTTTCTGCCCGTTAGTGGCTGCCCTGCCTTATGATAGATGTTTTCCAGTCAACTTATAGAACTTGCTAATAATAACTCAATATTCATGGAGTAATCTGCAGTGCTAATGAAATTAAATTAAAAAACAAATCTTAGTCTATATTTTTAGGCCAGGTGTGGTGGCAGACGCCTGTAATCCCAGCTACTTGGGGGGCTGAAGCAAGAGGGTCTCGTTTGTGTGTGTGCGTGTGTGTGTGTGTGTTTGTGTTTCATCCATCATTATACTGATTCCATTTCTCACTTAAATTAAGGGTGTTTTCAATGTAAAAGATGGAGGTGAGAAGGGAGATTTTATCATCCACTCAAGGTTGCTTCCAGGTAAGAGGTTTGGAATCAGGAGCTCCCACCTAGAAACGATGTTTCTGCCTCTGGACAGCACGAAGGCAATTGCCAACAAGGTTTCTCATGCCTCATTGTACCCGGATCATGGTTTTGTCAAGGTAGAATAAGGGACTAATACATTTCGGCAAATGCAAGTATATTTGTTCAAATCATAAATGAATGAAAGCCAACTCATACATTCTTTTATCCTAAAGTTTTAAATCATGCTCATGTATGTGAACAGTTTATATAGTGTCTACCTGTGAAGCACGAACCATAAGACTGTGGAAAGTCCCTGTGTCATACTAAGAACATTCTTGGGATTCTCCTAAACTGCATGACTCTCAGACTGTCTACAGCCTGGAATTTAACTCAGCCACCACTTCCTTTACCTTTATCCCTTCATCCCTTATCCAGATGTACTAGAAGACTCAGAACAAATCCCAGACCTGCTGAACAGCATGGTGTCTAGCACCTCCTGGGTACCACTTAGGTCTTCTGTAGATGCAGCTGCCTCTGCAGTGATCAGCCCTGCAAGGCTCCAGCTGACTTCACACAGAGGTAACCTCACGCCACCCTGCCTGCCCGTAGTGCCCTCTGCCCAGAGTTCTCAGTAGACAATGAGGCCAGGGGTACATGGTCGTAGCCCTCTCAGTGCCCATGCATGCACAGGCCAGGCACGTGGGGCATGAACTCCCTATGGGGTAAGCTTCTGTGCAGTGGGATCCAGGGTGGCTGACCCCACACCATGCTCTCCAATGGACTCCTCCCCCTTCCCTTTTTCATTTCCCTTGGTGGTTACTCCTGCTCCCTGGGCTTCATCTCCTTGATAACATACAGCACATGAGCCTTTGCCTCAGTCTCTGCTCTCTGAGCCTCTCATGCTGAGACAAATACATACCTTTAAGGTCTGGGTCTCCCACTTTCAAATTGGGGATAATAATACCTTCCTCATAAGGTTACTTTGAAGATTAAATACAGTTTGTTTGTTTGTTTATTTGTTTTAGACACAGAGTCTTACTCTGTTGCCCAGGCTGGAGTGCAGTGGTATGATCACAGCTCACGGCAGCTTCCAACTTCTGAGCTCAAGCTATCCTCCTGCCTCAACCTGCCAAGTAGCTAGGCCTACAGGTGCGCACCCCCACGTCCAGTTACCTTTTTATTTTTTTGGAGATGGAGTCTCACTCTGTCACCCAGGCTGGAGTGCAATGGCACAATCTCAGCTCACTGCAGCCTCCGCCTCCCAGGTTCAAGCTTCAAGTGATTTTCCTGTCTCGGCCTTCCAAGTAGCTGGGACTACAGGCCCCACCACCACGCCTGGCTAATTTTTATATTCTTAGTAGAGATAGGGTTTCACCATGTTGGCCAGGCTGGTCTCGAACTCCTGATCTCAGATGATCCACCCACCTCAGTCTCCCAAAGTGCTGGGATTACAGGTGTGAGCCACTGCGCCTGGCCCCAGCTAACTTTTTATTTTGCACAGACGGGCTCTCACTTTGTTACCCAAGCTGGTCTCGAACTCCTGGCTTCAAATGATTCTTCCGCTCGGCCTCCCAAAGCGCTGAGACTAAAGGTGTGAGTCACGGAACCCAGCCCAAATGCAGGTCGTTTGGATGGCAGTACTTGCGGAGTTTAAAGTTACAGCATAGAACTGCTTTCCCCTACTAGTTCTCTCCTTCAGGTCCCGTATTTTGAATTAGGATAATCTTGGATTTCCCTGCTACCTATTTTGTTAAGTCCTCCAGTAAAGAGTGCCTTCTGCTTTCCTTGACCCTGTTTTTCAGTATCCTTTCAATATCCTTCAGTATCCTTCTTCACTGTCCTACTTGGCCGATTCTACTTGCGACTAAATCAGTATGCCTACCACCAACCTGTGCGTCTTCATAATTGTCACTGGTGTGCCTTTTTTCACCTTGTGATTATCTGGGACATTTCTCTCCGTTGGAGCCTATGATCTCCGAGAAGTCCTCCTAATTACCAGTTCCATTCTGATATACATGTCAAGTGATGAGAGCTCACTTTATTTTTAAACTTCTTAAGGGTTGAAGTGGGATTTGGTATATCAGGAAACAACCAAACTAATTCTAAAGCTATACCTTTATAATTATACTGAACTGAAATATAATATTGTTTGTAGAATAGAATTGGTATAAAGTGATTTTTTTTTTTTACCACATTTAATATTATATATCCATCAGCTTTTTTGGATTGCAATCATAAACAGAGACAAGATTTATTGGAGAGTTTTTGGGGCTCACAGAATCAGCAGGAACCTAGAGAATAGGAGGGAAGCAAGGGAAGCTATTGCCATCCATGTATTCATTCAGTAAGTATTTAGTGAGCATTTACTATGTGCCAGTATTTTAACCAGTCTTCTACTGCTTGGCATCCAATTTGTTGCTATTATAAACAGTGCAATCTAATGAATAAAATTTTTAAAAAATTCATTTTCTAGAAATGTATTTTTTTCCCATGAATTATTTAGCAAGCTTACTGGCATACTGTTTTTCATTTGAGGGGAATTTGAGGTCAGGTCTTTGTATATGATCTTGAGCTCTTAAGCATTATGTTAAACTTCATTGCCTTGAATGATACATTGACTTCTACAAATTAGTCATTAAGACAAAATATTTATTTATTTACTTATTTGCTTATTTATGAGATGGAGTGTCACTTTGTTGCCTAGGGTGGAGTGCAGTGGTGTGATCTCAGCTCACTGCAACCTCCACCTCCCGAGTTCAAGTGATTTTCATGCCTCAGCCTCCCAGGTAGCTGGGATTACAGGCGAGGACCACCATGCCCAGCTAATGTTTTGTATTTTTGGTAGAGACAGAGTTTCACCATGTTGGCCAGGCTGGCCTAGAACTCCTGACCTCAGACGATCTACCTGCCTCGGCCTCCCAAAGCGCTGGGGTTACAGGCATGAGCCACCGTGCTTGCTGTATTGTTTATGGAAATGTCCCATAGTTAATTTTTTTTCTGAAGCAGCTAAAACATGAACTTTGATGTGCTTATGGAAGCTTTTTTGGTAAACACCTGCCTACTTTACTGTTGAAATGCCTAAAAGATTACTGTAAGACAGGCTGCTTGATAGTATAAATGGAGTCATTTCCTCCTTTACCAATCAGTGCTGCCTGCTGGGAAACTAATAAACCTGTTACACATCAAGAGCCTTATAAGTGTGATTCAGGCAAAGCTGATGAGTAGACAGGTACTGTGGGTCATTTTCCTTGACAACACAGAGACCACTGAAGCTAACAGGAAGACGTTCTGGTGCTGATGCAGAGAGGAAAGTCAACATAAAAACGCTCTCAGTGATGTGCACACTCCATCCCTGTTCAGCGTCCTCCTTGTGCTGCCCGCAGACGGCTGAGGTATCGTGGCTTAGGTGCTGCACGGTGACTATTAAGCCCAGACACCCTCGCTCTCATGACAGCCCCCGAGAATGACACCGAGAGTGTGAAAGGGAAAGTGTATTTTTCTATGACCTGTGGTTTCTTCTGGCCTCACAAAGCTTTAGGCTTGTTTGTGTTTGACTTTTTGCTGTTTTGGCACTTTCAGAGCACTGCGGTTTGGAGGTGAAACTTTTCTTTAAGGTTCTTGTTAACATTTAGTTTGGCACAAGGTTTGCAAATGGGCGTGGAAAACGCAGCACCTTTTTCACTGTGAAGGAGGCTGCGTGGTTTCAGCAGCTTTTGTTTATTTTTTAATTTTTATTTCCGTAGGTTACTGGGAAACAGGTGGTGTCTGGTTACATGAATATGTTCTTTAGGGGTGATTTGTGAGATTTGGGTGCACCTATCATCCGAGCAGTATACACTGCACCCAATTTGTAGGTTTGTTTGTTTATTTTTTACTGAGTCTGGCTCTGTCACCCAGGCTGGAGTGCAGTGGCACTATCTCGGCTCACTGCAACCTCCGTCTCCCAGGTTCAAGCGATTCTCCTGCCTCAGCCTCCCAAGTAGCTGGGATTACAGGTGCTTTCTACCACACCCGGCTAATTTTTGTATTTTTAGTAGAGATGGGGTTTCACCATGTTGGGCGGGCTGGTCTTGAACTCCTGATCTCAGGTGATTCACCCACCTCAGCCTCCCAAAGTGCTGGGATTACAGGCATGAGCCACTGCACCTGGTCTAATTTGTAGTGTTTTATCCCTCATCCCCTTCCCACCCTTTCCCCCGAGCCCCCAAAGTCCATTGCATTATTCTTGCGCCTTTGCATCCTCATAGCTTAGCTCCCACTTATGAGTGAGAACATATGATGTTTGGTTTTCCATTCCTGAGTTACTTCACTTAGAATAAGAGCCTCCAAGTCTCATCCAGGTTGCTGCAAATGCCATTAATTCATTCCTTTTTATGACTGAGTAGTATTCCATTGTGTGTGTGTGTGTGTGTGTGTGTGTGTGTGTGTATCACAGTTCTTTATCCACTTGTTGATTGATGGGCATTTGGTTTGGTTCTATATTTTTGCAATTGTGAATTGTGCACTGCTATAAACATGCGTGTGTAAATACATTTTTTGTATAATGACTATTTTCCTCTGATAGATACCCAGTGGTGGGATTGCTGGATCAAATGGTGATAGTTCCACTTTTAATTCTTTAAGGAATCTCCACACTGTTTTCCATAGTGGCTGTACTAGTTTACATTCCTGCCGGCAGTGTAGAAGTGTTCACTGTTCATGGCATCCACACCAACATCTATTATTTTTCAATTGTTATGGCCATTCTTGCAGGATTGTGGTATCGCATTGTGGTTTTGATTTGCATTTCCCTGATAATTAGTGATGTTAAGCATTTTTTCACGTTTGTTGGCCATTTGTATATCTCCTTTTGAGAATTGTCTATTCATGTCCTTTAGCCCACTTTTTGATGGGATTTTTTTTTTTCTTGCTAATTTGTTTGAGTTCTTTATAGATTCTGGATAATAGTCCTTTGCAAATGTATAGCTTGTGAGGATTTTCTCCCACTGTGGATTACCTGTTTACTCTGCTGACTGTTCCTTTTGCTGTGCAAAAGCTCTTTAGTTTAATTAAGTCCCAGCTATTTATCTTTGCTTTTATTGCATTTGCTTTTTGGTTCTTGGTCATGAAATCTTTGCCTAAGTCAATATCTAGAAGGGTTTTTCTGACGTTATCTTCCAGCAGTTTTATAGTTTCAGGTCTTAGAGTTAAATCCTTGATCCAACTTGAGTTTATTTTTAGCAGCTTTTATTAAAGTCACTAAAGTTTTAAAATAATGATTCTTTAATGTGACATTTTACAAACTCACAGTTCAGTGTACCTTTCTCTCCCGTAGTAGCATATATGTATGTGTGAATTTCCAAGTCAGGGTTCTCTCCAATTTATTTATTCAAATCTAATAAATTTTACAAGCATTATACCAAGCTGAAGGTTATTAACTAATTCTCAACAGAATTGGGGTAGAAATATCACTGGCTAGATTCAGGCTTTCAGTTCAACAAATGGACCTGCCTGAGTTCAGTACAATCAACCTTTCCCGTGTGTCTACGTGAACTCAAATAACTTACATGACTGGTAGACCCTATTTTAAGGGCAACTCTGAGTTGAGACTACCATAAAGATCTGTAGATTATAAACATAAGCCTGTGAGACAGAGTTGTCCTAAAGAAAGAAAGGTTATAATTTCCAAGCAGAAGGAGAAAGCACCTTTTTTGGTTACACACCTGGCATGTTATGAAAAGCTGGAGTTCAGTATTTCATTATAAGAAAAAAGAAACGATAAAATTTCTAAAAGTGTTAGACTAGGAGGAGAGAGAAAGAAACACAAAAGCTTTAGGTACCAGAAATGGGCTGGGTGCAGTGGCTCACGCCTGTAATCCCAACACTTTGGGAGGCTGAGGCAGGTGCATCACTTAAGGTCAGAAGTTCAAGACCAGCCTGGCCAATATGGTGAAACCCGTCTCTACTAAAATTACAAAAATTAGCCGGGCGTGGTGGTGTATGCCTGTATCCCCAATTACTAGGGAGGCTGAGGCAAGAGAATCGCTTGAACCTAGGAGGTGGAGATTGCAGTGAGCCAAGATCGCATCACTGC